ACCCAACACCAAGCTGTCAATCATCGCCCAGGGCTGGCAACGATCTAATAGACTCCTTTCTCCATGGAAGCGGTTGTGTAGAAGCTAGCAGGGATAGGTTTCCTCCTCTTGAGATTTTATAAACGTGATACCTGCATGAATGCCTGGGCCACGTGCTGGCTCTGCTAACTCTCAGCTTCCTAATAATGTGCCCCCTTGGAGGCAGCAGCTGAGGGCTCAAGTACCTGAGACTCTGTCACCCACGCAGAAGACCCAGACTAAGTTCCTGGCTCCCAGCTCTAACCTGGCCCAGCCTAGGCTGTCGTGGGCACTTGGGGAGTGAGCCAATGGGCAGGGGCCCTGTCTCACTACTTCTCAAACAAATCTTAAACAGTAATAATCTAAAAAAGCTGCTGTTTAGGAAAAATGCAGACTATGTAGTCTATAAAACTGCAGTAATATGTTCAAAACAAAGCTTAATTTTACCAGGCCAAATTAGAAACAATTACGAGAACATCTAAGGATTGGAAAAAATTTTACAGTTGGACAGTGTGTGCTGCAAATACACTTGTTCTGAACATGAACTTACACAGGAAATGGGAATGTGAAGGCTCAATTACAGAGATGCAATAGCCTAATGGAACAGCACCGCTCCTTCTAACAGTCTTGGCAAAGCGTCCAGGCACGGCCGGTTCTCTGCTGGGGGCAGCTTTCTTGGCTGTGAAGGCAGATCATGCCCTCTGTCACTCACGGGGAGCAGTTCTGCCCAACTGTCTCTTTCCGACAACTTTATCATCAATCTCTTTATTAACAGCTCCACTGCAGTCAGAAAACGCAAACAAGGACCAATTCTCATGCCAGATTTCTGGAACTCACATAGCACCAGGCCCCACACAGTGTGAAAGTTTGTAAGGCGGGTGTTGTGCCAAGAGAGACAGCATCCGCAGGAGCAAACAGAGAGTTGGGACGTTTTACATTATTTCATTAAAACACACACACCTACATTCTCATGCATGAAATCTAGAAGCAACCCAGATACCTGGTTAGGAACATGGGGACAGGACACTGAGGGGCACCAGGGCAGAGATCACCGCTCTCCTCACAAGCAGTTATTTTGCATTCCCAGAATTTTTTAAAGCAAAAATTACAGTACCCCCATCAGGAAAGTTTTAACTATTTTAGGACTATACGACATTATTAGAAAACACACAAGGCTGAGATGTCTGCAAGGAGCTGTGAGACATGTAAAACTGCCATGTCTGAATTATTCAAAACACACATTTTCCGCATGAAATTATGGATCAAAAAATAGTATCTTAAAGGAAATGTTTCTAAAAAGCCTGTAAAGTATTTTTAAAAAACACAGACATCTTAAAAAGAAATCAGGTCTTAGCCAAGTGACGACTATGAACCAAAGTCCATCTAGGTTAAGTGGAACCTAGGTACCAGAGCTGCTACTGAGCTGACACTGCACTAAGTCAAACTTTACTGTTCATTACAATGTTAACACTTGCAGACCAGACCTACCCTAAGTCAGCATTTATCCTTAGAACTTCTCTTTTAGTCCGTTCAGCATTTCAAACTGTTGATTGTATTGTTTGAAAACAGCATGGGCCGGCGCCGCGGCTCACTAGGCTAATCCTCCACCTAGCGGCGCGGGCACACCGGGTTCTAGTCCCGGTCGGGGCGCCGGATTCTGTCCCGGTTGCCCCTCTTCCAGGCCAGCTCTCTGCTGTGGCCAGGGAGTGCAGTGGAGGATGGCCCAAGTGCTTGGGCCCTGCACCCCATGGGAGACCAGGAGAAGCACCTGGCTCCTGCCTTCGGATCAGCGCGGTGCGCCACCACAGCGCGCCATCCGCGGCGGCCATTGGAGGGTGAACCAACGGCAAAGGAAGACCTTTCTCTCTCTCACTGTCCACTCTGTCAAAAAAACAAAACAAAACAAAACAAAACAAAAAACAACAAACAAAAAAACCCACCAGCATGAACAGTCAGTACTCAATGACTACAGGGAAAACTTGGTGTTTAGACTCCACTATTTAATTTAGGCCATCCCACAATTATGCATCTTGCTACGATGTTTTCCAGCTGTGATGTCTGTGCAGGCTCAGGTGGAAAAGGAACTCTCCACCAGGACTAAGGTGGTGGAGGCAGCTTCAAGCCCGGAATGAACCAGCTCTCTGGCCTCCAGGCCCTTACTACAATGTAAGACAAAAAGGACACCCCATTCGGCCTTCTGAAGTCAAATGTGGGACCCGGTGAGGAAGGAAGGTTTCATTCTCACACTTCTAAAAAGATTATTAAAGGGCCGGCGCTGTGGTGTAGTGGGAAGAGCTGCGGCCTGCAGCACCGGCATCCCATATGGGCACCGGTTCAAGTCCTGGCTGCTCCACTTCCGATCCAGCTCTCTGCTATGGCCTGGGAAAGCAGAAGATGGCCCGAGTCCTTGGGCCCCTGCACCCACATGGGAGACCCAAGGGAAACTCCTGGCTCCTGATCGGCCCAGATCCAGCTGTTGTTGCCATCTGGGGAGTGAACCAGAGCATGATCTATCTGCTTCTGCCTCTCTGTACTCTGCCTTTGAAATAAATAAATATTTTCAAATAAATATTTTCAAATAAATATTTGAAATATTTCAATAAATAAATTTTGAAATATTTCAATAAATATTTTCAAAAAGATTAAACTCTAAATACTATGCCCTTTACAGATAATTGGTAGTAGGAAGAGAATGAATGAATTGACTCCACAATTAGAACAGTGCCCAGAATTAAAGGACCACCTCTCTCTGTGACTACGGTCACTGTGTATCACAGAACGTAATACTTCACTGACCAAGGTCAGGTCTGAGAGCTAAGACTGCATCCAATTGTGACTATGGCTTGAAGAAAAGCTAACAGGAGCAAAAGCATGATTCAGGCTAAAAAGCTATTAATTTTCCTTTGTACTATTCTTTTATATTAGAAACAAAACAGGCAAAAATATTTCCAAGGAATTGTTCAATGACTTTTTAGTTTTATCTTTTTTTTTTAAATGCCTCTGCACGATACTTCCAGGGCATGGTCTATGAAGCTGGTTCATATTAATGACTTATCCTTCCATGTATCAATTATCTTTTTTAAATGTTTATTTGAGAGGTGGAGTTGCAGACAGTGAGAGGGAGAGACAGAGAGAGAGGTCTTCCTTCTGCTTCCCAAATGGCCCCAATGAAAGGAGCTGAGCTCATCCAAAGCCAGGAATCAGGAGCTTCCTCTGAGTCTCCCACGTAGGTGCAGGGGCCCAAGCACTTGGGCCATCTTCTACTGCTTTTTTGGGCCATAGCAGAGAGCTGGACTGAAAGAGGAGCAGCCGGGTCTAGAACCGGCACCTATATGGGATGCTGGCGCTGCAGGCAGAGGATTAACCCACTGCGCCACAGCGCCGGCCCCTCCATGTATCAGTTATTACTTGGAGCTGCTGACCACCCTGAACACAGCCAGAATACTATGCAGAGCTCTAAAACATGTTTCTGTGTAGAGGAAAAAACAATCACTGGTACTAATCAGAAAAATTAAAACCTTAGTCCAGAATCTGTCAGTCAGTATGGCGCCAGCGTTACGGCACAGCAGGTAAGGCCACCACCTGCGACACTGGTATCCCACGTGGGCGCGAGTTCATGTTCTGGCTGCTCCACCAGCTCCCTGCTAACGGCCTGGGAAGGCAGCACATGATGGCTCAAGTGCTTGGGAGGCCTGGAAGAAAGCACTGGCTCCTGCTCAGCCTGGCCCAGCCCTGGTCACTGCGGCCACCTGGGGAGTGAGCCAGCAGGTAGAAGTCCTCCTTCAAATAAATAATTCTTAAAAAACAAAACCAAACCCTCAAAGTGTGATGTTCAGCCTCATGTCGAAGTATCTTTCAATGTTAGAGGAAGTTCAGCAAGTTCAATTCTGTAGGTGTTAAGTGTAATCAAAACTAATTTTTATGTTTTCCTTTTTGCCTAGTTGTCATAAAAGTTAAACTTTTCACATTAAATCAGTTATCCCACATAGCAGTCAACTATTTTTATATATATAGTGGATATAGAATTTGAAATTTTAGGTGTGAAATACATAAAACTGCACGTTCCTTAGTATAATGGCTTTTATGTAAAGAGTCCATCCCTCTACTCAAAACCCTCAGCAGGTGTGGGTGCTGCGGCACAGCAGGTTAAGCCGCTGCGTGCGACAGCCGCATCCTGTATCAGCGTGCCTGGCTCAAGCCCCGGCTACACCACTTCCCGTTCAGCTTCTTGCTGACACATCTGGGAGGCTGCAGAGACGATGGCTCAAGTGCTGTAAACCACGTGGGGAACGCGGAGTCCTGGGCTCCTGGCCTCCGCCTCGGGTAGTGCTGGCTCTCGGCATTCCGGAGCAAAGTAGCAGATAGATGGAGGCTTTCTCACCCTCACGCTCTGCCTTTCAAGCAGATGAAAATAAACACTAATACACACGCACGCGCACAGGCACCATACCCCGAGACTGGTCACCACAAACACGGGGAGCAGTCCATTCCTCACCCAACAGTGAGGTGTGAATGTTAAGCATTTGGGGGTTTCAGAAAAGCCACACTTGGTTTGGATTCAATCAAATAAGAAACAGGATCCTGGCGAGTGGCAGTCCTAATTCTACATTCCCTGAGGAACAACAGCGCCATCTGCTGACGTCAGAAATGACGGACCTACAGGTGGGAAGAGAGCCCAGTATCCTGTGTGCAAGTGTATAATAAACACAGAATATTTTAGATGACTGAACATGAATCGAGTGTGTTCATGGTTTTCTCCCTGAAGATCAATTATGAGAAATAAAAATAAGATTGTTATGATATAAATTGAGTGTAATTTATTTATTAATATTGAGTGTAAATTAAAGAGTCAAATTTTTTGCGAATCTTAATATCATTCTATAAACTTTTTAAGTAGACTCAAATACTGAAAAAAAAAAGTAAGTCAAAAGAAATCAGGCAACTGTGGGATTGTGCTGTTTTTTTTTTTATTGTGTTTTCAATGGAGAAATACATCATCTGTTTACAAAATAGCTCTTGAAAAATACAAGGAGTACAGATACTATAAAACAAAGCAAACTCCAGTCATGAGACACTACATACATCATGCGAAAGCAACAGTCTGATCTCCAGGTTATGAAAACTAGAATTAAAAAGTCACTACACAGAAAATGTCCAAGTTTCCAGCTTGGCAAAACTTGGGTGCAGTTACATGAAACGTTTAATAAACTGAATTTTTTCCCCAATGTGTAAACAAAATGACAAGACTAAATCTGTGCCTGGCAATTTCAATCTAACTCTGAAGCTACACAAACACACAGACACCTTGTACACTTCACCTGTTAGGATGACCATCTTGTTTTCTGTAGGTGGTGGAAGGAAGGGCAAGGTGACTGTGCAGAGCAAAGATGTGGGAAGCAGAATACTGTATACTAGACATTATAAATCATGTGGAAGAGAAAGCTTCAATTAATGCATAGCCTAAGGGGAGAGACTACACTCCAACTTTGGAAAATTAATTGAGGAGGACAGGGAAGTTGAACATGAGAATGCACGTGTGACGGAATGAAGCACAAGGGAAGACTCCAAGCATGCGCGTCAGCTTTGCTCTGTCCAGATGAAGACCGAGTTACCAACGTCTGGCAGCCCTCACACTCTGTAAGGATGGATGTTCTTCCTAATTATGGGAATTATTTTCTTTAAAGAAAGGAGTTCCTAATCTTTTGATAGAATAAAAGAAAATAAAAAGGAAAGCTGACTAGATGTCAAGTGCTTGCTAGAAATGATTTTTAAAATGTTTCTGTATGTAAAATTCACCGACAAATTTTGGTAAACCAGTTAAAAATAAAAATCAGTCTAAAAATCTTGGAGAAAATGCCTTTTTGCCCACATGTTTAAAATTGAAAGTCGATTTGCTATAGAGAGCAGTTCCATGGAGTGTACAAAATTCTTCTTTATTGAGAGATCAAATGGCCATCCAAGATAGTTATCATGTTTCACAGGCATTATTTTTAGTCACTCTAAAGGTTTCAGCCATGGGACCAAAATTTAGTGTTCTGTGTCATGTAGCCACAGGGTCTTACTGGTTTCACATCATGGCTTAAGAAAATACTGGCATTTTGTTTTCTGTGAAGTACTTCCTACCTCGTGCACACAAGCAAAGGAAAATAAGAAAAAAAGGGTAGGGAGTGCAAAAAGCTTTTCTTGTTTTTGTTTTGAAGACAACAGATTGAAGGCAAAAGAATATCGAACTTTGATAAGCCTGAAGAAAAATACTTGCTGATTGTTGATTTGTATGCACTATAAAACAATTCTATAAATAAAACCAATATATCATTTCTTAATCGCGACCCCATCAAAACCAAGTATGTCTTAATTATTCTTTCAATGTCAAAGGTATACCCTAGAGTTGCCACTTCATCCTCAAGGGTTATGCTACCTCCTAGGGAGACTACACTAGACGTGCTCACATCCTCTCTGAGTGTGACCGTACACCACTGCACAATGGTACCCAACTGGAAGCTAATGGCAAAGGAAATTCTTCAGGAAAGAAAGAAATCCATCAAGCTGAAAACCTAAATTAGTTCTACTTCCTAATAAAAAAATACATAAAAGTGCATCATCAGAATAAGGAAATCTTATGCCAGTTTGTATTGCAAGTTTTCCAAACAATGCATCAAACATAAACCCAATTCAGATGTCAATTATGGATACAAATATAGCTTGAGGTTTTTTTTTTTTTTTTTCATTTAAAGGCAGTAATTTTTGAAATAGTTAATGCAACTGTTGCTAACACAATAATAATAGTACTCCTGGCTTCACATACTAACCTGGACTTCCGATCAAGTGCTGATTAGCCCAGTAAGGGAGGTCACCAAAAAAACCTAAATCCATTTTCAGTCATGTCTAGTCTTGTACCCTCCATTTTCCTTTTTTAGCATTTGAAGACAACAGGTTGAGTTGGCAGATATTGTTTATGGACCCCTGAGGTTGTTTTTACCGATTCAATCTCAGTTTTATTGAATTCTTGATAACAGGAATAGGATTTGCAGGGAGAGCGGGGATATCAGAAAGGTCTGTACTGGATGTTTTCTGAGAATGAAAGCAAAGAACACATCATCGTTCAAAGCACTGCAGTTTAAAAATGAGACGCACTTTCCACTGCTTTACTTTCTAAGAATTGATGGAACTTTACCATAAGAAAACCACTGTGAAATTAAAGAAAAATATTCTGAATTGTTCAAATAGAATGCAAATAAACATGCCTACTTTTAGCACATTATTTGTTCTACACTTAAAGAAATTTTAAAATAATTAAGCACAAATTATTTTAACAATATTTTAGCAATATATAGAAAACCCCTAAGTAATTTGAAATACAGCTTTAAAAAATGTGATCCCCAAGCATTACCTATCATATAATTACCATGTTAACATTAAACTGTTTTTACGTATTACAACACTAACAGCTGTGATATTAACTGGTATTGGAGCACCCCCATGTGGGAGAATATTTAAGTTCACCCTTAGACACAGAAGCAGTAGCTGTCAGTAAATTCATTACTTTCTTACACTAAATTATAAAATTAGATATACAACTCTGAGCAATAATCTAATTATTCTAAAGTTTAGAAAAGTTTTCATTAAATTAAAGCCTTCTTTAATATTCAGAAATACAGCGATGATTTTTAAGTGTCTTATTGTGGAAAATTCCAAACATACACAAAAGTAGAGCGCATTACAGAACTTCCATGTATTCATTACGCAGCTTCATCAACTACCATATAAAGCCAATCCAATCTCCTACCGCCTTTTCCCTGGATTATTCTGAAGCAAATCCCAGAGAGCCTATCACTTCATCTGTAGAACCTCAAGATTTACCTCAAAGCAGTAAGGACACTTTGTTATACACAGCCACGGTGTTATTACCCCCTAGAAACAGAGGTGTCCTTAATTTCACCAAACAGGAATGTAATTTTTAAGCACAACTACGTTTTTGATAACTGGGTGGTTTTACTCTCACTGGCTTTTAGTAGAAAATCCTACTCATAAAAATATCCAAGAGGCCAATACTAATTACTATAGGAATGGGCTCAGTAAGACAAAGCTATGAAAACGGTGCCTTCAAAAGCAGCATGGCACACATCAATCATCATCACGGGACAGCGGAGGTCTGATAAAAACCAGTCTGCCCATGGACCAATATTACACACGCGCTTTCCTGATGTGATTATGCCCCAAATGTTTTACTAGATAAAAATTAGGGAAACAAAAGAAACTTCAGAAGCAAAAAATATGATTTATATATCCTTAAAGACTATCAAAGTTAATATCCTACAAAAGCATATTTTTATAAATAATCACTTTAAAATAACTCCAAACCACAAAGTAGCAAAAACATCAGAGTATCAGTTAATCAACACCACTAGGAACCACACTAGGCAGTGTTATCTCACTTTGTAGAGATTGATCACTTTAATATCAATTTACAGAAAAAGATTTACTTTGTATCAGAGTTTGATTTAGACTTTAGGGTTGATTCCATTCGAAAGGATCCAAAAAGTAAACAACTGTTTTCCAAGCAAAGTGAAGGTTTGCAAATACATGGAAAAAGATCCCATAGGTCTACTGTATCTAACAAACTGTCACAAGCTAACAGGAATAAAAAAAAAAATCCAGAGAATTATGGATTATATACTAATTAACTAACTGAAAATCTGTAGGGAAAATGAGGCAGAAATCAATCTTAAAAACAAAAAGGTCAAACAAGTATTAACCTCACAAAAAAATCTAAAAGGATGGTTTTCAGTGCTTTCCAAATTTAAATTTCACCCTGACCTATAAATAAAGCCTCTATGTGGCCCGTGTATAGGACTAGTGAAAATTTGCGTGATTTGCACTATCAAATAAGGTATCAATGACAAGTTAGCATCCAGACAACACAACACAAAACAGTTCCATCAAATCCAATGGCCCTGCTTTTAAACTACAATGAATACACACATATAGGTTAGCAAATAATTACTTTCACAAAGATAATTTTAGCAGTCTTCTATGATACACCACACTGATCTTAAGAACATTTACAAATCTCTCCTTGCTTTTTGCTCTTAGTACCTGAGAGGCCAACAGAGAAGCCGCTGTCTGAATAGTTTCTGATTGGGTTGTACTTGTCTCTGTATCAAGTTGTTCCTGTGAGACAAAGAGGATGGGGAGGGGGGAAAAGAGACTTAAAAAAGAATAAAAGAACATAACTGGGTTTGGCGGCTAATAAAGAAGACAAAAAACTGGAAGACAGAAGGGATCAAGAGAGAGATGCAACTAAATTACAAAATCATTTATTAAGCCTCATTGTTAAGTTATTTTACCACTTCAGATATTCAAAAATTCCTATTTACCTACAAATCTTACAATGCATGGTTAAAATATCTCATGACTTTCCAACTGGCTCCAACTTGGACGTTTTAAGCAAACAGTAATTAACAACACACATAGGCACATAATGAAATGTTGCCCAGACAATAATTAACAGAATACAAACCCAAGGAAGGCTCTTAAATGAAACAAACAAAAAAAATTAAATATTAAATAAAATTACCCAGAAGCACAAACATTGCTCCAGGCCTTTAATTCTAAAATTTGAAAGATTTCTTCCTCTTTAAGGTCCCTCCTCCCCTCCCTTATTCTCCTCTAAGCATAATCAGAAAATACAAAGTAACCCATCTCATTCCACTGCTTTAAATTTTTGGAAAACAGTGCGAAAACGCTCAAAATTAATACACATATACACAAAAAATGAAAATAACCATATTAAAAGCCTCAATTTCTTTTTAAATTAAAATAACGAAACATAGATTTTCTCCTATGAAATTACAAAGGGTAAACAAGGTGTAAGGAGTAGGAATGGAAGAAGTGTAGCTTTCCTGGAAGACACCTTGGCTGTGTTCATAAAGTTTCAAAAATTAACCATATTATTCGTCTCAGGATTTCTCTTTCATTAATCTAAGCAAACGAGAATGCACAGCAGGAATTTAACAACAGTCAAGACTACACTAGGAAAGTACAACCTGCTTTTTTTAATGGAAACTGTTAATGACTGGGCACTGGTTGAATACAATATAGTAACAGCCTTAAGATGGGATTCTGTATGTTAATAATGCTGTAGATTACTTAATGACACCAACATGTTTTCTTGGTTTACAATGTAAATTAATAGGAAAGCAAAAAGGAATTGCTATGTAGTACATGTGAGGGTACACATAAAATCTAGAAACACACCAAAAGAATACTTGTTAAAGTATCCATCACAGAAATCTGGATAATTAAGGAGAAGGGGGGAGGACTTCTAATTTTTCTACAACAAAGGGGAATCAAGTTCAAAGTTCATTCATTCAATGTCTTTTACAATGTAGACAAAACCAATCTCTTCCACTCCATCTACCTTATTCAAACCCCATATACCCTACATTTTAACCAAACCCTTCTGTCAAAAACTAGTTCCCTAACCAAACCATAATCTGAACCGAACATTGAGATGATCTTTTCATCTCCGACTGCCAAAACTCCCATGTATCCTTCAAAGACGACTTCAAATGCTACTTCCCGCTCTGTGAAGCCTTTTACTGGTCTCTGCAGCCAAAAGTAACACCTTATTCCTCCCTGTCCTCAGTCTCCAGTCCTCAATTAGTCTGACTTTATTGGGTAGCAATTACATATATCTACATCTTATATTTTCTACTTCATTGTAAGCTCCTTTAAATGTATGGAACATGTCTCACTATTACATTCCCTTCAGTGTTGAGCAAAATTAATTAACATTAAAAAGGAACAAACACTTGTCTAAAGACAGTACTGACAAAAATCTAAAACCTATGCTACAAAATACAGTACAATACTCTAGAGACATTTGTATCACATCTTTTGTACTCTTAATTGTGTATGTATTCTAAAGGCTAAATTGATATACCTTTGTTTCAGTTTTATCATGTCCACTCAAAGCAAGACAGTTAGCATCTTCACTTGTTTCATCCTGTTTTTAAAAAAAAAAGCTTTATTCTCTAAAATGAAAGAATCTGGATTATTTGCCAATCAATGCTTTAATGTATGAAAATTTTTCAAAACTATAAACATAATTTGAATTCAGCAACTACTAAAATTAAAAAGAACATGCGAAAAATGAGTACTGCAGATCACCATCTAAAGTACATTCCCCAAACCACTAAGTTCATAAATTTTTTGTAAGGAAAAACAAAAAGAATTCCCTGAACAAACAAGCTCAGGAACTTGGCGTACTCTTGCTCCCATTCTAGGAAGATTCACATGCACATTAGCATATAAAAGGTTCTGAGAATTTTATGAAGAATACCATTTTCTCAAACTTAACCAGAGAATCTACCCTTCCTTAGTGAGAACTATGAAAATCCTCAAGAACACAAGGTTTGAAATACGCTCTCTGTGGGTCTTAAAAAACTATTCTGACACTATTTTCTTGGCTTCATTTACCAAGCAGAACTGAAATTTAATTTTAACTGTGGCAATAGAAACCAATTCTAATAAGGACTTAATCTGCTTCCTGCAAACCCACAAACTTTAAAAATGGCAATTTATGTTACAACAAATACTGACTGGATGTGTGACATTATGGAATTAGTGTGATAAATATACTGCATCTTGATTTTCAGAAACACACAGAAGTATCTGCGCTGGAAAGGACATGCCTCGAGCTTGCTCCACACAGCAGGGAAGGAATGAGTGTGCAAATCAAACAGGACGGACCATGGTTATTAAACGCTGAAGCTGGCTGATACAAACAAGGACACTGCATTACTCTTTTGTACATGTTTGAAATTTTCCATAGACTAAAGCCTTAAAAATATATAGCTTAATTTAGCCATATAATTCAGGAGACAGAGCAAATGTTTTCTATTTTTATTATCATTTTATTCTATTTTATTATCATTTATATGTATTTGAAAATTAAGTTATGAAGAACAGTAAACAAAACTAAAATACCATGTTATCTAAAAACTCTTGTCTACAGGCAGGTTAGTGTATTATTGAGTGAATTTTTTCTAATATCAAGTATTCATTAGCAGAGACCAAAAGATTCAGTTAAGGAGGGAATTCAAAAGCAGAGTACTTATATAACAAGCACCAAGAGTTTCAGGTCTGAGTTCAAATACTGCCTCTCACTACAATAGTTTTTATAACTGCAAATGCAACTAGGAAGTGAGATTAGCCTATAAAATAACCTAACATCCCCTTTCCACCTTCAAAGTCTATGTCTGTAAATCAACTCCATGCAGATGGAATAAGCAAAATCCAGACTGAAATCACAAAACAAAAAGACTGCAAGGTCAAAAAGAAAAAAAAAGAAAGAAAGAAAAAGAAAAAGAAAAAGAAAAAAAAAGGGGTGGGGGGATGTATGTAGTGGTGGGAACCATCCGGCAGGACCATATGGGGCACATGAAATCATTCTGTTTGATGCTGCCATGGCAACCACAGGTAGGACACAATATTCAATAAATGTATACGTTTATTTTTAAGTTGATAATTTCGTATGGCCTGTTAATGATGTAATAAATACCCAAATGGCCCAGGGCAGAAAAAAAGGTTCTCCCCCATGTAGGATACTGAAGACACATCAAACAATTACAGTGCAGGGATCTTTTTCAGTTGCATATCTAAACAGACAGACAATTTTAAAAAGTCAATGAGTCAATCAGGACTAGCACTCGCAAGATATTTGATGACGTTAATAAATTATTTTTATTGGTGGGCTGATTTTGGCTCATTTATATTTTCTTTTATAGGCACATGACTTTAAGAACTCTGATGAAATGATACGATGTCTGGATCTTGCTACTGAATAATCTACAGGAGATGGAAGAGGCTGACAGAATCAAGGCTACAGAGACTGGCTGAGAGTTCAGTATCACTGAAGCTGTGTCATGGATACAGAGAAACATTAAGTGACGTTCTTTACTTTCATATACATTTTTAATTTTCCATACTAAATATATTTCTATTCCTTCTTTAAACCAGATAAGAAACATGACTACCATTCTACTAAGGTAAGTGAAAACAAAATTAAAAACACTGTGCTGGTATATATTTACTTAGCGCTCTCAGGGTCCCATTTATTAAAGAAACCAAATATTTAGAGTTACAATTACATATGCCTGCCTGTGTTAGAGAGAAACGTGAACACTGAAATGCTCTGCTAACCTGGAACAATCAGTAGGCAGAATGTCTAATGTACACTAAAAGCAGTACACTCCTAGGTTGCGGCTTTTCAGAAGATTCTCAGGCCTAACCCCTGAGAGGACGCTGACTCAGTCTATCTGAAAGAGACCCTAAAATGTAAGAGAACAATTCTGACACACAACCAAGAATGACAAACACCTTCTTAGGTAGTCCCAGATACAGATGGGTTTTCAGAACACATCTTGCATGGTGTGACACACTACACTCATTTTTCATTCTCATTTAAGACTAAAAAAATTCATCAGCTTATTCATTTTTAGTTAATATTGACTATTTACAAAAGAAATAAAATAAAAGCCTTTAAAATAAACTAAAAAACAGATTAAGAGGCATAATTTCACCAGAATTGATCAAGACTACAGACTCCATGAGAATCCTGGATTTTTTCTCCCTGATCTAAAGAATTTTTGTGTAATGATAAGTTCCTAATAAATTATCAGCCAAAAATCACAATGAAATTGTTGCTTTTAGACTGATTTCTGGGGCAAAGGTGAATGTCCCACTAGCAAGAAAACAACATGAGAATAACTACAGAAAGATCAAACTGTGTAACAAGACTATTTCTATTTCACACCAAATCAACATATGTTTTTAATGGTTTTCCTAAAACTATTTTGAAATTGTGACAAGACAAGCCTACTTAATTATAAAAAGTGAACGTACTGCTAGAAGTTCCCTGCAGACAGACCCCTGAGTTAATATGATTTTGCAATCTTGCGGAGTCCTTCAGGAAGAATTCTCTGAGAACCTTTGGGACTTAGTGATCCTAGAATCCAAGTACAGTACAAAAGCCCCACAACTACAGCTGGATCACGGAGGCCAAAACTTGTCCAAAGGAGCCCATCAAAGAATCGGTACAAATAAAAGGCACCAGCATTAGAGAATAATAAATCAAGATCACATGCATTTCTGAGCTAAACTGAGTCACAGACTACACTGCAAAGAAGTTTCAAAGAGAAGCCCAATTCTACAGAAGAGGTAGCTACTCAGGAGAGCAGGAGAGGTGAAAGCACTTATGGCACTAACAGCAGCAGACTCACTCACAAACTTCCCGAAAACGCTCCTCCTTGATCCTGCTACATTCTGGCTCAACAGACTTTGTTCCACTGGATTTGAAAATAGGCAAAGTGGCACAGCCACGGCTAACCAACATATTTGGCATATATATACCTCTTCTGTTTTGGTTTTCTTGGGACTCTCTTCTTTATGAGGGGAGGATGTCCTCTTGACTCCTGCTATAGGATTAGGTACTTTTGTTGGTGCACTTCCTGAATGTCTAGGTGGTGGGTTTACCAGACGTGTTGAGGAAACAACTCTGGAGACTGTAGGCTTTGGTGGTGGAGAAATGGCTGGTTGTGTGGCAGTTTGAGGAATGCTTTCACTCGATGTACCTAAGCAGTAAAAATATGAACATGTACAAATCAAAAGAATATCAACATTAAATTGCAAGCTTTTATTTCTCTAAATTTAATTTCACAAATAACTTCACATGCAAATAATAAAATGGCATCAAAAAATTGATTTCAAACTACAGAATTAATCAACAAACCCATTTTTCACAATGAAGGTTAATACCAATTATAAAAGCAAGAATGGTCAAACCTATCAAACCAATTTCCTTACCCCCTGAGCTTTCACTGGAATTTACTTGTGGCACAGAAACTTCAGTAGCCTGTGTGTTGGTCACAGATGCTGCTGTCACAGCTGGAGCAGGACTGTTTCTGCTAAAAAGAACAAAAATTAACTTTAAAAAAAAACAAAAAAATAAGAAGTATGAAATAAAACTCAGTACTTTAACATCACTGATCTTCAGTGAACAATTTCTTAATTTCCATTTCCTATACCTTTCAACTACTGACTTCATCTGATAATGGCTCTGAAAGACCTTTTCTTAATTGATTCGGGATAAGAGACAACTGGTTTGGGACAGAACAAAATTCTATAAAAAATTATGGAAAAGTAGTCTGAGACATAGAAATAATTTTATGCATACAAAGTCCAAGGGTACATAAAAACCTAGAAGTCCATCTACAAATGGGCCAAATGGCCATGACTCTACGTTTCAGGGATACTGTAATATTTCACTCTAGAAATGTTTTCTAAAGCTCCTTCCCCACCCCTGAAAAAACTTCCCCTTTTCCTTCCATTTCACATGCCAAACTCAGCCAACTTTACTTCCTACTTCACAGACAAAGACAGCCAGCAGCCAGGACGTATTCCAAATTTTGAGATAAATATATAAAAAAGCTGCACCTCCTTCTTTCATTAACCTCTTCTCCCCTCCACTTATCATAACCAAAGCCCAATCCCTTTTTCATGTTCTAGATCCCTATACCTCCTATCACCTCAAGAAACTCAAATTCCTTTATTCTCCTAACTCTTCAACTTTTCTATCTAAAATATATCCTACATATTTGCATCTAAATTAAGATCGAGTTTTCATCTCCTGAAAGGAAAACTAAAGCACAAAGTCTTCTGGTCCTCTACTCCTTCAGCTACACCTCATGCTCTGAAAGTGTGAGGGGGGCGCTCACTAGTACTGAAGGTGAGTGGAGACACCATCAGGATGCGATAATGAGACCTGAAGAGAGCCCTGGCATTACACAAGCATTTAATGATCGAATAACAAACGCCAGCCAAAGCCGCAGATGCACGAGAAAACCTGAAATAGCTAGCACAGTGTCTAATTATAAAGAGCATTTGTCAAACACACAATGCTATACTTAAAATCCAAAAGACTTTGTTATTTTATATTAGTTGTGAAGAAATTAAATTTCAACACTAAACTTGCAAAATTGCATAGCATGACTACACATTTTATATATATATATATATATATACACACACACACATATATATATATACACACACACACACACACACACACGCACCAACTCAACGCAAACAAGGGGAAAACTCCTTATCTAAAATGTCTTCTTCAGAAAACAAGCAAACAACCAATGAAACACAAAACAAACATGTAAAAGTTAATGCTCAACATCTAAGAACTATTTTCAAAACTGGAAGAAACACAGGACACAGTGAGGCCTGAAGTCCAGCTTGTGCTTGATTAACTTAAAAACACACCACACACGGAAAGTCCAAGAAGAAGAAAAGTAAACTCCTCCAATCCTCAAACTACATCTTTGCCATTGGGTTAGACACTGCTAACCCAAATATTAAAAATTTTTTAAAAAGTTAAACTACACCACATATTCATAAAAGTGCTCAAATTTTTAAGCATCCATTCATTTAGAAAGTGATCAGTATAACCACCACATTGGAAAATACTACAAGTACCCCATAAGTCTCTGTAAATAGCGCCCTTTGAAAATATGGTAGTAGATACATGGAATTCTAGAAGGATCCAACATAAACATGTTCAGTAATCAAATATAAATACAACATTACTATGTTCTGATTTTTACCACCACAGACAAAAATATGCCATCTTTCTTTCATAATAAAAATTTGAAAGCTGCTTTAAATGTTTATAATGGGATACGGAGTTCAAAAACAGGAATTCCCTAACTAAAACCACCCAGCTACATCTTTACCTTCTTTAGAAAATCCCTAATGCTTTCACAGATACGCTCCCTGCTCCAAGTGTAAGCAGCTCTAGGACACAAAGGTGGGTTTTGTTCTTTGAGTCTGTTCTCCTCAACACACCAAATAATCTACTGCAGCAATAATTTCTAAATATATAAATGTGGAGGGATTACAGTGATAGCATTCATTCATATTTCTTTTTTTGTTTTGTTTTTTGACAGGCAGAGTTAGACAGTAAGAGAGAGAAAGAGAGAAAGGTCTTCCTTTTTCTGTTGGTTCACCCCCCAAATGGCCGACATAGCCGGCGCGCTGTGCCGATCCAAAGCCAGGAGCCAGGTACTTCCTCCTGGTCTCCCATGCGGGTGCAGGGCCCAAACACTTGGGCCATCCTCCACTGCCTTCCCGGGCCACAGCAGAGAGCTGGACTGGAAGAGGAGCAACCGGGACAGAACCGGCGCCCCAACCGGGACTAGAACCTGGGGTGCCAGTGCTGCAGGAGGAGGATTAGCCAAGTGAGTCACGGCGCCGGCCTCATTCATATTTCAATCGAGACATCTCAGTCCCCAAATTTTCCAAATATATTCATTAGGATAAAACCTAAAACAAATGTCCCCAAAACTAGGAGTTAAATTGCTATCTTAAAAAAATCAGAAAATGGAATATAAATAACATTCTAAATCGCTGACTTCAGAGGCCAACAATGTTGTCACTCCGCTTCCCTTCCCTTCCTTTTCCTTACCCCTGAGAGCTGCCAGAACTGTTCAATGGACTGGTCTTCATAGCACTAGTGGGTGAAGGCACAGACATGCTGTTATCACTGTCCATAGACAAGTCGAGGCTGCTGTCATTCAGAGCTGTCAATTTGACACCTTCTGTTGAATGCTGTAACCAAAAAATATTTAATTACATATATGTATCTATGTCACCCAGACCTTTGAAATAAGAAAACTTTGTATATAACTTCTATGATTTCTACTAAAAAGCATAAATCACTAGGATGAAAATCATTAGTGCCGTGCTGATTGTAAAAGGTAAAAATTTGAGTCATGTACTTCCAGGCTTCTAAAGAGGCCTTCAACTTGACAATTCTTACGCAGGGAAAAAAGGAAGAAGGAATGCTACATTAAACATACACTCTGATTGCTAAGACACTGCAAATCGAAATGTACTATGAAATTCCATGAATCTTCAATCAGGAGTATAAACACACACACACAAATATCCAAGAAAAAGTCAACAATTTACATCACATTAACTGATAATCTTTAGTTAGTGAGATTAGAAGTGATTATTTTTGTTTACAGATTTCTAACTATCCTACAATGAAGATAAAAATTAAGTCATTTCAGGTCCAGTGCTGTGGCACAGTGGGCTAAGCCTCTGCCTGTGGTGCCAGCATTCCATATGGGCGCCGGTCTGGGTCCCAGCTGCTCTACTTCCAATCCAGCCCCCTGATGATGGTCTGGGAAAGCAGTAGAAGAGATGGCCCAAGTGTTTGGGCCCATGCACCCAAGTGGGAAACCCAGAAGAAGCTCCTGGCTGCAGACTGGCTCAGCTCTAGTTGCTGCAGCCATTTGAGGAGTGAACCAGTGGTTGGAAGACCTCTCTCTTCCTCTTTCCCTGTCTCTCTCCGTAACTCTACCTCTCAAATAAATAAAATCTTTTAAAAAAATTAAGTCATTTCAAAAAACTTTACCAAGTGTAACTCATTGCCACTCATCATTATTTGTCAATAAATGAGACTCTCAGAAGCAAAATTTCTAGTGCTCTTACTGCAATTGAAGATTTTAACATGGTATATTTGGTAGTATAAATTATATGAAAATAAAAGCAGAAATAATTTTAACTTCCCAGTATAGAACCTAATGTTGGCCCTGCTTCTTAAAAATCAAAGTGCTCCAAAATAAATAATGCAGGAAAACCAAAAACCTATGAACAGTTTTATGGGACTAAAGTTCACTTCTATAGTGATTAAGTTTTAAGTTTTGTAATGTTAAATTGATTCCTGGGGATGGGGTGTGGCTGCACAGTCGGTTAAGCCAGTATTTGGGATCCCTGCATACCCTATCAAGCACCCGATTCAAGTCCCGACTGCTCCACTCAATTGAGCTTCCCTCGATGATGGTCCAAGTGCTTGGATCCTTGCCTCCCACTTGGGAGACCTGGATGGAGTTCCTGGCTTCTGGCTTCCATTTGACCTAGCTTTGGCTATTGCGAGCACTTCGGAAGTGAACCAGAGGATGGAAGATCCCTTTCTCAGTCCCTACCTTTGTCATGTTTTCAAATAATTAAATCTCTTAAAAAAAAAAAATCACACTGATTCCTTCATCTTTATCTTTCTTATAGGTTCAGCCTCAGTGTTCATTTCCTATAGAAACATTTTAATGGAAGTAACTCAGGTTGTTGACAAAATCCACTCCATGGGTGTACGTGTGTGTTCCACTCTCCAGTTCCCCAAATGACAAGCTATCTCATCTCTGACTTAGCACCAGAGATGCCACTTGTATACATAAATCAAAATTTATTAAATGGGGAAGATAAGATTCAGTAGAAAAGAGGAGAGAATAATATTTGCTTATGCAGTCAGTTGTAAAACAAAATATTCTAAATGAGTAACTTTCCTAGTCCAAGATGCTACCAATCTTATTTTTCTACCAGACATGAGAACAAAGTGTCAGTAAGTAAATTATATTCAATTCTACAGTTACCTGCCTGACCAGGTGACCAGACACCTATAAGGAAACAAACCAGGGGCTGCAATTGTGGCACAGCAGGTAAAGCAGCTGCCTGTGACACTGGCATCCCATGTGGGCACTGGTTCAGTCTCAGTTATTCCACTTCCAATCAGCTCCCTGCTAATGGCCTGAGAAAGCAGAAGGAGATGGCCCAACTGCTTGGGCCTCTGCACCCAGGTGGGAGACCTGGAAGAACAGTTCCTGGCTCCTGTATTCAGCCTAGCCTCCCTATTGAGGCCATCTGGGGAGTGAATCAATGAATGGAAAACCTTTCTCTGCCTTTCAAATAAATAAATAAATAAATCTTAAAAGAAAGAACAGACCACTGCTGTGGGTAATATGTGAATTTGAAGGTTTTTAACTGGTTGGTCTGAACACAAAGCACCATTAAGCTCATCTGCTTTGGCTCTGTATCTATCTAGTCTCAAAAGACCTCAAAGCCAAATAATCATAAACAGTCTATCTGGGGCCAGTGCTGTGGCGTAGTGGGTAAAGCCACTGCCTGCAGTTCCGGCAACCCATATGGGCACCGGTTCGAGTCCTGGCTGCTCCACTTCCAATCCAGCTCTTTGCTATGGCCTGGGTAAGCAGTAGAAGATGGCCCAAGTGCTTGGGTCCCTGCACCTGTGTGGGAGACCCAGAAGAAGCTTCTGGCTTTGGATCAGCGCAGCTCCAGCAGTTGCGGCCAACTGGGGAGTGAACCAGCAGATGGAAGACCTCTTCTCTCTCTCTCTGCCTCTCCTTCACTCTCTGTGCAACTCTGACTTTCAAATAAATAATAAATCTTTAAAAAAAAGTCTATCAAAATTATCGAATAAAATACAACAAAGAGCATACTACAGAGAGGAAAAGAAAACACATTACTTGCAATCAGACCCAGATTCAATTCACCACTCATGGTACATGACCTCAGGCAAGTTTCTAAACCATTCCACTTCTTCTATACGACACAATGCCTATGGGTTGCTGGAACACTAAATATAGAAAAAAAACTAGTACAGTGCTTTGCAAATAGTAGTAAATAAAAGAAAGTTATTAAAAAGAGTCCAATAAAAACATTCATGGGTTTAGACTCCTAGACACTTGTTGCCTATAAAAACAAGTGTTACTTTACCAAAACTTTGAAAATAATCTATAAATGATATCAACAGAAAAAAATTTGATCATACAAAAGCCATAGAATGAATATTGAGCAATCACCAAAAATATAATTTGGCTATACCAGGCATAAAATAAGACAGTTCACACATTAAAGTTTTGTCAAAAAATCTTGGGGCACTCACATCCCGTATCACAATGCCTGGGTTCAAGTCCCAGTACCTCTTTTTTTTTTAAGATACATTTATTTGAAAGTCAGAGTTACACAAAGAGAGAGGAGAGGCAGAGAGAGAGAGAGAGAGAGAGAGAGAGAGAGAGAGAGAGAAAGTCTTCCATCCAACAGTTCACTCCCCAGTTGGCCGCAACGGCCGGAGCTCCGCAGATATGAAGCCAGGAGCCAAGAGCTTCCTCCAGGTCTCCCATGTGGGTTCAAGAGCCCAAGCACTTGGGCCATCTTCTACTGCTTTCCCAGGCCACAGCAGAGAGCTGGATCGGAAGTGGAGCAGTTGGGTCTTGAACCAGTGCCCATATAGGATACCAGCGCTTCAGGTCAGGGCGTTAACCCTCTGTGCCACGGTGCCAGCCCCCCAGTACCTCCTCTAATTTCTGCTTCCTGCAAAATGGATTAGCCTGGGAGGCAGCACATGATGACTCAATTACTTGGGGACCTGCCACCCATGTTGGAGATCTGGACTGATTTATGGGACCCTGCCTTTGGCCTGGCCCAGCCTGGCTGCTGCAGGCATTTTGGAAGTCAACCAGTAGATGAAGATCTCTTTCTCAAATAAATAATTTTTAAAGATAAAAATAGGGTCCAGCATTGTGACACAGCATGAAAAGCCGCCACCTGTGCCGCCAGCAATATATGGCACTAGTTCACGTACCAGCTACTCCACTTCCAAACCAGTTCCCTGTTAAGGGCCTAGGAAAAGCAGCAGAAGATGGCCCAAGTGTCGGGGCCCTGCTACCCATGTGGGAGATCCTGATGATGCTCCTGGCTCCTGGCTTCTGCCTTCAGCCTGGTCTAGCACTGACCACTGAAGCTATCTGGGGAGTGAATCAGTGGATAAGATATCTCTCTGTGTCTCACTTTCTCTGTTACTCTTCCAAATAAGTAAATCAATTTTTAAAATATATAAATAAAAACGCACATAGTATGTGTTAATATACACTGAAGAATAGTCTGTGTAGAAAAAAAACCCCACAATGTTAAAAGAGTTATCAGATGAAAATGTAGTTACTTCATTGGATAGATTTTTATTTAATAATACATTTTTAATTTTCTCTTTATTTTCTAGATAGGGTCTAGAAAAACATTACCCTCTTTTAAAAAAAGAGTAAAAATAAACTGGGAGCTGGTGCTGTGGCATAGTGGGTAAAGCTGCTGGCTGCAGTGCTGGCATTCTATATGGACGCCGGTTCGAGACCCGGCTGCTCCACTTCTGATCCAGCTCTCTGCTGCGCCCTGGGGAAACAGTGGAAGATGGCCCAAGCCCTTTGGCCCCTGCACCCACACAGGAGACCCAGAAGAAGCTCCTGGCTTCAGATCGGCCCAGCCAAAGCTGTTGCGGTCATCTGGGGAGGGAATTGGCGGATAAAAGACCGCCTTCTCCCTGCCTCTGCCTCTAACTCTTTCAAAAAAATAAATAAAGCCTTAAAAAATAATAAAATAAAAAAACATACTGTATAAAAATTTACTTAACTATATGACAGCTGTGCCAAGTATTAAGTCTGTCATGTAAACAGTAAGAGTTTAAAAGTCAATATGAATCTAGAATTATGGAAAAATCTAATAAGTTATAAGTAACTGCTTTAATTAGACAAACAACTAGGTGTTAAAGAACGCATTCTACTTATACTAACTTCAAAAAACACAAAATGTTAACATATTTCTATACATAATAAATTTATGCTTAAGTAGAACTGCTTTAATCCACTAACAATATCACATCAAAAGGCACTTAGAAGATAAATGTTTGTATAATGTTTTTGTTTAAAAATAAAATTGCTTGATAAATTATTTTTAAAGATTTATTTATTTATTTGAAAGGCAGAGTTTCAAGAGAGGCAGAGGCAGAGAAAGAGAGGTCTTTAAACCGCTGGTTCACTTCCCAGATGGCTACAATGGCTGGAACTGTGCCGAACCGGAGCCAGGAGCCTGGAGCTTCTTCCAAGTCTCCCATGCAGGTACAGGGGCCCAAGGAGTCGGGCCATCTTCCACTGCTTATCCAGACCACAGAAGAGAGCTGGATCAGAAATGGAACAGCCAGGACTTGATGCCAGCACTGCAAGTGGCAGCCACAGCACCAGCCCCACTGCTTGATAAATTTTTATGCTATGTATTTGCTGTTAAGTAAAACTGCTTGAGAAAAGACTGATACATTTTTGGTACTTTCTGGATTACTTTGTTAATTCAGGGATCCCTAAAGAAAAAAATCACTTCCTAAAGAACATCATATTTAAGTCCTTAATAATTTTATTTTAGACCCTGCAAAATTAATCTACATACCCATAGAAGTCATAATGATGATGGTGATACATAAATGAGCATTAATGTGTGCCGGCATTAGTCTAAACCACCCTTCGTATGCATGGACTCATTTAAACCTCATGAAATACTTGATAGGTGAAATTATTATTCCAATTTTTCAGTCATGACATCAATCAAGAACCAGATGTCTGATACACAACTTGTCTAAGAGTTACAGTTAGCAATCAGTAGAGCCTGAATTTGAACCAAGCAGTCTCATTTTGCCTAACCTTATTTCCTACCATAATATTTTCTATGTTTTTGAGAAACAAGATATTATAATGCTGAAGCCCTTTGTATGTAAATTTCATTCTTTTCCCAACTCCAGCCCCACATAACCATTATCCTCAAAACAGTGGTCACCATTCTCTAACATAATATATACTTTTATTTCATATTCTCTCCTAAATGTACTGTTTTGCAAGTTTTAAATTTTTTATATAAAAGCATCAAATGGTATATATTCATCTGCATTTTATCTCTACTCAAAATATTAGTATGTGCAGTTCTAATTAACTTATTTTCACTGCTGCATGCCATAAGGTATTCAATTATAGGAAGAAGACATCTATTCTTCAAACCACTTAGAGAAAAAAAATTGTCATTTTGCACTAAAATTCCATATGTCCACAATAAAAATTCAAATAAGGAAAATGGCTCTAAGCTAGCCCCTCACCACCCCCTCAAAAAGTATTAACACCAAATGTACTGCAAACTCTCAACTTTGGTAACTTCTAGTGGGAATCTCCTTCATACACCATTTAATTGTGAATTAATATATGGATATTTTCCTATGTCTAAGCAAAAAAAAGTCATTGTCACTAACAGAAAAAGCAACTTACATAATTTACTCTTTCACCTATTACCTCAGTGAATTTTGATAAATTAACTTAAAGGAAACCAGACACTGATGTGGATACTGGATACTGTGTTAATAAAAGGCTTTTAAAAGAGACTATGAGTGTATACAAAGTAGGTACATACAGCATCACCTCTCACGGGCCTCTTTCTTAAGTCTGAAGGAAGTGTGTTCAAGAAAACTGATTCAGAGACTTTTTAAAATGCTTTCATCTGTTTCAAACACATGTGTTAACTGAGCCTGAGTTCTGAAATGCTCACAGGCTGGATGCACACACACACTGAGCTAGTACTGCTTTCATAAGTACTTTCTAAATTTACCTTTTTCTTTTTCTGAAGCACATGATTAGGTAGCAGTTGATGGAGTTGCTTTCTTTTTACATGCATGGCAGCAATTTTCATATCCACCTCAAACATCTTGCTGTTTATTGCTTGCCTATAAACTACACAATTAGAAATTGTTACAAAAAATAGAAACAGTTTAATAAAGGCAGTTAAGCTCACTAAGGAGAAACTATTACAAAAGGAGATTCTTTCCCAATCAATACTGCACACCTATAAAATTATAAGGTCAAGACCTACCCCCTTATCTGACATAATTCATTGCCTGGAACAAAGTACTTTTACCACAAGGTATACATAATGCATAAAAGCACAAAGCATATTAATTCTTTCAATATAGAAACTCCTTAAGTAGCTCTAGGTAGTAAAGGAATAACTTGATGAAATATCACAATTGGAAGAACAGAGTTTCTTAAACCTATATCTTTAAATGCTACCTAGTAAATTTAAAGTTTTACCCAAGTATGCAACACATGCAGCAAAAACAGTCAACTTATAAAACTACACCTAAAGATACCTTTACAAGAATCTGCAAGATAAAGTTTTAAAGTAATGACACATTACCTATTATTAAAATAACTCAAATAAAAGAGGTCACAGGAACAAAAAAAAAAAAATGCCACAATAAATTCCAATTATTTAGATCCAAAGACCCTGAACCGGGAAAATCCAGTCATACAACAAAGATTTTCATATACCTATCTGTAAACACACTGAAGACACAGCTGTGAACGAAGGATAGCCAAGGAGCCTCACAGAGGCTGCATTTTAGTAGGGAGAACAGAACAAAGAGAAAGGAAGTAAAATTTACTCCATTATCAGATGGTGACGGAAGTATGGAGGAAAACTAAGTAGCTAACATGACAGGAAGCTCAGCCAGGAAAGTGAATGAAAGATTTAAACGTACAACCATGGAATGGCACTCCAGGAAGAGCAGGATCACGGACAGAAGCCCTGCCCAGAAGATCACGCCTATAACAAGAGAGAGGAGAAAAGCAAAACTCCACAAGGCTTCATCTGCAGATCTAAAACCCCAGAAGCTCCCGATACATGGGATTTTGCTGAAATTGACACCAGAACTCATCTAGCAATAAACCCTGATCTAAACTACCTGTGGATATTTGGTCTTTAACTTTTGCTTCTTGTGAATATCAATGGTTCCCTGCAGAAATGTCTTGATTACCAAATAAATGCTGCCTCAGGCCCTGTAGGGCATCCTACTAATGTACCACCTTTCTGTCCCCAAGACATACACATGAAACATCATTACAACTTACAAGAGGAACAAGGTCCAAGAAGATGAGAACAATGAGGCAGACCAGGAAAACCTTGCAAACGACAGGAAGGACTAGGACTTCGATTCTCAGGGGCGGTCATACAGGTTTTAAGCAGTTGGGACCCAATTTGGCGTAAAAATACTATTTGATCATCGTTTATACCCCTTGTATGTATTCCTAAGAAATTTGTTTTTCTACTTACTTACTTGTTGAACTCTATATTTAGTGGAGGGTTAAGCTTGTGATGGTAAAGCAAACTGAAAATATGTCATCTCAAAAATTAAGAAAGGAGGGAGGGAGAAGGGTGGGAAACATCATTATGTTCTTAAAACTGCGCATAGGAAATCTGTTCACTTGAAATAAATAAACTTTAAAAATGCCATTTGGATGTTGGATGAGAAGAGCTGAAGGTGGGAAAGACGAAACAGAAAAGCTGTGGACAGGACAGTATCCAACAGAGCAACAGGAGTGGCTAAGGCTAGGGAGACAGCAGAGCAAGCAGTAACACTTGGCAGGGATCTCAATGTATACAGAAAGAGGCAAAAAAAGACAGTCATCATGGATTAAAACCAAGTAGCAGAGAAATGGGCAAAGATGAAACCAAGATTTCTATCTTGAACAACCCAAAAAACAGCTGAAAGGGGCTAGGGGTGAAACTTCATGTTACAAAAATGTTAAATTTATTTTATTTAAAAATCTCATAACATATTCCATTAAAATCTTTCAAGATAACAAAGCTAAAAAAAAAAGGTAACAAAGCAAAACCTACTTTGCAAAATACCTAAAAGATTCTTCAAAATCTTGATGGTTCATTAATATAATCTCTAGTAAACAGCTCCAATTGGATACAATATACAAAATTAATTTCCTAATTCACAAGTATTTCTTCATGACTTGCTAGTTCAAAACGGATTAAGATGATATCAGATTTTCTTCTATGCTGTCCAGCAGGGAGAGTATTACCCTACATATGACTTCCTAAAAAATCTGTAGAAGTGTTTTTGATGTCCCAATGATTCAAGGTTGCTACTGGCTAAAGGTGCTAGACATCCTTCAATGTGGACAGTTCCACCCAAAAAAGAAGTATACCATATCCTACCTATATTCCTCAAGATGAAAAACCTACTCAGCAATGTGAACCAAAAACTCCATTCAATTTTACATAAAAACAAAGTATTTTAATTTGAAATTTCCAATAGCACAACGACAGGAATATAAAACTAGAACACTTTTTGTTTTATTTGCAACTTTTACAGCAACACTGGCAGTGATGGTTATCAGAATCACCACAGAAAATACCTCAGTGTGAATTCAAAGATGTTACCGGTGCTCGTGATTTCTACGTAAGGGTACTACTGAAGTACGTCTTCTAGTGCCCCTATTTACCTGAGCAGATAGAGACTGAAACACATACAGCAGTCTCTACTGCATCTATGGGGGATACACTATAAAACCCCCCATGGATGCTGGAAACCAGAGAGTAGCAAACCATATACATACTTTCCAATACATATACCTGTGATACAACTTAATTTATAAATTAGGTACAGTAAGATTAACAACAGTAATAGTTGTAACAATGTACTGTAACAACCTTTTATGCTTATGGTCTCACTAAAAATACTGTAGCACACTATTCTTGTGATGACGTGAGACAATAGAAAGCCTCCACGATGAAATGAAGTGAGGTGAATCAGATGAGCACAGTGACTCAGCATTAGGCTGTTACATAAGGGTGACTTGAACACAGTGCTCAGATTCAATGACAGTCTAAACACTGAGAGGGCTACTGAGTGATCCCTGCACAGCTAGCACGGATATGCTGGACAAAGGGATGATTCACAACCCGGGAAGGATGGGGCCAGATCCCATCATGCTACTCAGATGCATGATGCATGCAACTTACAACCTGTTAATTGCTTATCTCTGTACTTTTCATGTAATACTTTCAGACTCCAGTAAGTGAAACCATGGGAGGCTGAGTCTCTGGGTAAGAGGGTGGAGGCACTGCTATGCCCTTTTTCTTTCATTCTCTTTGTATTATAATTAGTATACTTAAATACTGACCTTTTAACAAGTAGTCATCAATATTTTCTCTCCTCAAGGTAAAAAATAAATTTTAATGTTAAAACTGAATGTTCTCAGGGGAAACTCTTCAGTCGACAGATTAAAAAAGTCACTTACTAAAATGCTTTAAAATGGAAGGGAGAGACGTTTAAGAAAGAATATAATTAGCCCTTACGTGAGATGCAGAGACACACAGCTGTCCCTAAGCATACTCACCACTACCTAAAAGGTTGTGCATGTACACAACAGCCTTAGATCCTATCGATGATACTCACCATCTGGTCTTAGGTAAAGCACACTACCTTTTACTTCAGGGTACAGGTCAGAACGATAGACAAAATTTAAAAATGTTCAACTTAACTTTAAAAGGCCTTCACAACAGAGAAAAATCACATATATTAGACATCACTAAAACTAGTAACTAATACAAAAACCATTTAAGATTATTTTGGGGATGGACATTTGGCCTAGAGGTTAAGATACCCACATCCAATATCGAAGTGCCTGGGTTTTATTTCCTACCCAAGTACCTGCCAGCCTCCTGCTAATGGTGACCCGGCAAAGGTGGAGGTGATGGCTCAAGTAGTTGAGCTCCTGTCACCCACGTGGGTGTTCCTAGCTCCCAGTTCTCATCACCCAACCAGTCTGGGCATTTGGAGAGTGAATCAGAGGATACAAGCATGTTCTCTCAAATTAATAAATAAAAATTTTTAAAAATTATTTTGATGACTACTGTTTACTATTCTCAAGTAATCTGAAAAATTATTGCAAATATCATTAACCCATGGTGTACATGAAAGCAAATTCCATATACAAGCAACTCTAGTTATCCAAGTAAAGACATACCTGTATCTGTGAAAGACTGAATATCATAGGTGAGATCAACACTGAGATTTTCAGAGTTTTCTGTTTTTTTAAACACTAACCCAATCACCCACATCGTTCGAAATTCTTCCCTGCAAAGAAAAACAATACTGTAATTTATCACACTTCCATGAAAATGCAGCTATCAACATGGCTGACAACCTGAGGTATGTAGAAAAACCTGCATTACAAACGTACGAGTGAACGCAGCTCTAAAACCAAGTGACATCAAAATCCAAAGCCCTCCCCGCACTACCATCTGTGTTCCTATTATTATAGAAACAATCAGAGCTCTAGAACAAATACTCTATTGATACAGTATTTTAAATAACTGCAAGGTATCAAAGGCACTGAAATCAAAGTTCTATCCAAACTAACAAGGGATAAAGAAAAGTGCTTTTCAGTAATGTTGAAAAGAGGATTGGCGCTATGGCATACTGGACTAAACCTCCGCCTGTGGCACTGGCATCCTGTAAGGGTGCAGTTTCAAGTCTCAGCTGCTCTTCTTCCAATCCAGCTCTCTACTTACGGCCTGGGAAAACAGTGGAAGATGGCCCAAATACTTGGGCCCCTGCACTCATGTGGGACACCCTGAAGAAGCTCCTGGTTTTTTGACTGGCCCCGCTCCAGGCGTTGCGGCCATTTGGGGAGTGAACCAGCAGATGGAAGACCTTCTTCTGTCTCCCTCTCTCTGTCTGTAATTCTACCTCTCAAATAAAATCTTAGAGGGGGGAAAAAAAGGAAAGAAACAAAATGAAGCTAAACCAAATGTCAGAAAGAAGGAGTGCTACTGCGGTGCAGTAGGTTAAGCTACTGCCTACAGTGCCAGCATAGCATATGGGCGCCGGTTCGAGTCCCAGCTGCTCCATTTCCAATCTAGCTCTCTGCTGTGGCCTGAGAAAGCAGAAGATGGCCCAGGTCCTTGGGACCCTACATCTACGTGGGAGACCCAGAAGAAGCTCCTGGCTCCTGGCTTTGGATCATCCCAGCTCCAGCTGTTGTAGCCATCTGGGGAGTGAACCAGCAGATGGAAGACCTCTCTCTCTCCGCCTCTGCCTCTCTAACTCTTTCAAATAAATAAATAGGCCAGCGCTGCAGCTCACTAGGCTAATCCTCCACCTGCGGCGCTGGCACCCCAGGTTCTAGTCCCAGTTGCTCCTCTTCCAGTCCAGCTCTCTGCTGTGGCCCGGGAAGGCAGTGGAGGATGGCCCAAGTGCTTAGGCCCTGCACTCGCATGGGCGACCAGGAGGAAGCACCTGGCTCCTGGCTTCGGATCGGCGCAGCACGCCGGCCATAATGGCCATTTGGGGGGTGAACTAATGGAAGGAAGACCTTTCTTTATGTCTCTCTCTCTCACTGTCTAACTCTGCCTGTCAATAAATAAATAAATAAATAAATCTTTTGTTTTTTTTAAAAAAAGACTACATAACTGGAAATTTGCAATTAGTGATTAGTTTACTTTTGGATATTTCATGATCTACTGAATGAAGCACTACAATCTTAATAAATTAAGTCTGCAATAACCAAAAAATTCTGAAAAGCTCAAACTTATGATTTTTCCAAAAGGGAAGAAAATCTATCAGAATTATTATATCACTGCACAATCTCAAGTGATTTTCATCTGCTATTTTTCAGTCTTTCTTTAATCTTGATTTTCTTAAAAGCTCATTAATAATACTGTCTTTTGGGCCAACAATGTGGCAACGTGGGTAAAACCGCCATCTATGATGCCAGCATCTCAAATGGGTGCGGGTTCATGTCCTACCGGCTCCATTTCCAACTCAGCTCCCTGCTAATGGCCTGGGAAGGCAGCAGAAATAGCCCAAGTTTTCAAGCCACCATGAGACACCCAGATGAAGCTCCTGGCTCGGGGTTTCATCCTGGCCCAGCCATGGCCGTTATGGCCATCTGAGTAATAAACCAGCAGATGGAAGATCTCTCTATATATAACTTTTTCAAATAAATTAAATCTTTATAATAAGGGGCCAGTGCTGTGGCATACTGGGTAAAGCTACCACCTGCAGTGCCAGCATCCCATTTGGGCACCAGCAAGTCCCGGCCGCTCCACTTCTGATCCAGCTCTCTGCTATGGCCTGGGAGAGCAGTAGAGGATGACACAAGTCACTGGGCCCTTGCACCCGCCTAGGAGACCCAAAAAGCTCTTGGCTCCTTGCTTTGGATCAGCCCAGCCGATGGAAGACCTCTCTCTCTGCCTTTCAAATAAATAAATAAATCTTAAAAAAATAATAACAATATTCTCCTAACCTTCCAAATACAATAGAGTCTCATATTAAGTAATAAAAGGAGCAACTGACCTATATAAAATACCCTTCAAAGGACAAAGTAAGTCTGTTTTTTATTTACTAATCTTTGTAATGGTCCAGACTCCAACACAAATCAGAATCCTCCAAGGTTAAATCAAAATATCTTACCTTTTGTTAAAAAAAAATACAACACAAAGCAAATACTAATTTCTGATGCAGCCAGCTGTTCCAACAACCATTACACAAATGGGAGAAAAAAACAATGCTAGGAAGAAATGCTAAATTCAGTATCCAGCATACCTGCCAACATAAACTCTAATTAATGGACACCTCATTATTAGAAATATTACCAAAAAATAACTTAATCCAGTTATGATTTTCTCAAGACAGTCTTTCTCTTCAATGTTTCTGATCAGGAAAAACCAAATTGTAAATTCCAAATTGGTTTTGAACCACATGCAACCAACAAAACAATGATACCAATTACAAAAGCTACACACAGATGCTTCCAAGTAAGCGGTTAAGGGAGGAAGGGAGGAGGAAGTTGGATCAGATGGAAGAACACTCACTTGTCAGGATTTTCTTTGGGTGCTGGAAATGACTGGGGGTTCACATGGGCCAGGGTAATAAATTCATTCTTCTCCAAGCTTCCAACCAGGATGCGGATTTTTGATTCCACCAAGCCCACCCTGAACAAATTCCACTTAGTATTAATACAAGTTTTGGTTAACTCTTAAAAAAAGACCTCAAATACACAAAACCAAGTTCATGGAAAATGAAGACTCTAAGTAACTTAAAAAATACCAGGGCAGTTCAAGTGGCTGAACTGCCAGAGATAAACCTAAGAGCCTGAAGACCTACCCAAAACACTGAACTGCCTGGGGGATGGGGGGCGGGGGCACTGGGGACCATGTCAAACTTCATTCAAGCCAAGAAGGTTACAAATATTTAAAGATAATTCAGCATCTTAAAAAAAAAAGGCCCCTTCAATCTACAGTTAAGAAATAATACATATGGGCGCCAGTTCAAGTCCAGGTTACTCTACTTTGATCCAGCTCCCTGCTAATGTGTTTGGGAAAGCAGCAGAGGATGATCCAAGTGCTTAGGCTCCTGCACCCATGTGGGAAACCCACCAGAAGCCCCTGGCTTTGGCCTGGCCCAGCCCTGGGCATTGTGGCCATCTGGGGAGTGAACCAGCAGGTAGAAGACCTCTCTCTCTCTCTCTCTCTCTCTCTCTAACTCCACCTTTCAAATAAATAAAAAATACAAGGGGGCTGAAGTTGTGGCACGGCAAGTTTAGCTACCACCTGTGATGCCAACATCCCACGCGAGCACTGGCTCTAGTCCTGGTTCTGCTCCACTTCCCATCTGCTCCCTGCTAATGTGCCTGGGAAACCAGCAGACGGCCCAGGTCCTTGGGCCCCTACCATGTTGAGAGACCAGTATGGAACCCAGACTCCTGGCTCCAGCCTGGTGCAGTCCCAGCTGTTGTGGCCATTTGGGCAGAACCAAAGGGTAGATCTCTTTTTCTGTCTCTCCCTCTCTCTGTAATATGGATTTCTATAGAGCAAATGAAAAGTCCGCATATGGATCCCCTAATTATAGTTCCAAGTAGGACAGCTCCTTTTATAACAAACGAAATCAAGCTGTATGTTTTAAGGGCTTCCTCACATCTCCTAGTGCATTCTTATTCATTTTGAAGTTTATTTTTTAAGTCTCATCTTAATACTCACCATTCTAGGCGCTGTTTTTCTGTTGGTGCACTTGCTAGAAGTACAATATAATGCCTTTGAAGATAAAGACAACATGCTATTTATTTTATTTACATGCTTTGTGCTGGATATTAAAACCATAATGTAGTAAGCATTTTTACATTTATAGATCAACATCAATTTCACACAAGAAACTGCACTATACACATCAAATCATATAAACTGGATTTCACATTTTTTCCTAACTAGTGATGAATTTAATTCTTCTGAAAGTGATTTCATAAATAATTACTAAACAGAAGCTTAGTTCAAAAAAGATGAATAAGCAATAACTGGTAATTTTTGTTCAATGACTCAGATGGAGTACTCTACACATAATATTAAAGAACAGCTCACTGAAATATAATCTAGTAACATAAAAATATTTTAATGGCAACAAAACACCAGGGCTTTGCCCGCAAAACCAAAACACTTCATATACACATCACAACAGGAATTTGAAATTAAACTGAATGCTGAAATTAAGCCCAGTGATTCTTCCCAGTATAAACTGTGACAAAAAGACATCACTGTCGTGACAGAAATAAAGAAATATGGTTTCTGTTCAGAGTTCAATCTCACTGAAAATAGTTTTTAATTCTGAAAATACCATCATGACCAAATATCTAATTTTTAAGTCTTTTTTCAAACAACCTATTTACAACTAAAATGTAATTACTATAATTCAATTTTCTAAGACTAACAAAGTTCAGTCCATTTTAGAAGTGCTGGGAGCCAAATTTCAAACCAAAAACTTTACCCCAAAAAACAAACTGAACTACTGAACTAATACTCTAGTATAGATACTAGTTAAGAAAGTGACAATATGACCCAAAATTTGAAATTATTTTATTCTTACTTTAAAAGTCTGAAAACTTTGTTTCTTCTCACATTTTACAAGTTAGGTTTTGATCCAAAAGCAAAAAAAATTCTAAGCTACAGCCAAAAAAAAAAACCTAGCAGCCACAGTTTCAAAAGAGGACACATTTGTTTTTTAAAGCAAAAATAAAAAACAACAAACAAAAATAAACAGGACATTTTAGGGAAAGGTACTAAAGGTCTGGCTAATTTAAGCATTTTTCAATCACATGGGAATACCAAAATATTCATGGGCGATACATCTAATTCAATTTTCCATGAACTTTTTGAAACTGTTTCATACTTTGCTTAAAACAGCCCTATTGATTATTTATTAATTACATTTACAGAGCCTTTGAATAACAGTTCTAATAGCTATATAAACCTAGACAGTTCTAAAACTTGTGTACATCTGTAACACAAGATAACAGTATTTGTTTTACTGTCGATTTCAGCCGAATTAACATCAAAGTATTTATCAACTTAAGGTAACAGTCATCAATAACTAAAAATGAGGAGTGCTTATCTATTTATGTGAAAACAGATATATAGGTATATGCAGACCAAATCCATATATACTAATACTTCCTTTATCAGTTTAATATATTCAGAACAGGGCAAATACATAGACAAAGCAAAGATGGCCCAAATAAAGTCATTAAGTCACATGATAGCACCCAAAGCTCAAACATTTACAGAGAAACCTGTACTCAGAGCCCTAAACTACACAGAATCCTAACAAGCTCAGGAACCTGATTTTTCGGTCCCTGAGACATTAACAAGGGTACACTGATACAGCAACTTATAAAAGCAGACAATAAATTATGAAATCAAGCATGCACATAAAAACTCAGAAATGCAAAGTTGCCTGGATTCATCTAGCACAGAGACATCCCCAGTTTTTAAACGCTTTTACCACTATTAAAATGGGTATTTTTAATGATCACCTGAATCTTCAAGAAGAGCTTAAATGGTACACAATGTAAATGATGCGCAATGTTTTTCATTCTTCAAAGGCAAAGTATACAATCCATTTGAACAAAACTCTTTCAGCAAGTTTAACATCTAGAAGTCTAAACAGTTCTACTCTGATTCTTCCCGAAATCCAAAGGCAGTGAGGGAGAGCACTAAGTATTTTTTCTGTATACTGCTTTTGGACAAATGCTTTTCTTCAGGTTAAATAACTCTTAACAAGTATTTCTGGTAAGGTTAAATGTCCTTCACTCAGCCACAATTAAGCAGATGTGAATGAAATATAAAATTAATTTATAAAACAAAGACTTGGTTGGGGCCAGCGTTGGAGCACCACGGGGTTAGGCTGCTGCTTGGGACATCAGTGTCCCATATCCAAGCGCCAACAGAGCCCAAGCTGTTCCACTTCCCATCCAGCTCCCTGCAAATGCGCCTGGGAAAGCAGCAGAGGATAGCCCAAGGACTTGATCCCTGCCACCCACACAGGAAACTCAGATGGAGTTCTGGGCTCCTGACTTAGGCCTGGCCCAGTTCTAGCCATTTGGGTAGTGAACTAGTAGACATAAGATTTCTCTCTCTCTCTCTCTCTCTCTCTCCCTTTGTCACTGTGCCTTTCAAATAAATAAAAAATTCAAAAATAAAAATAAAATTCCAATTTCATGTTATAAAAAATAATTTTTAACTTTTAAAACCCAGAATTTATACTGTAAGGTTCTTATGAGAACATAAAATTAGGAACATTTCTAAGTTACACATTATTTAGATGTTGTAACAGGAACTATGACAGTGCCAGAGTTATTCCAACGGGGGTGGAGAACAGCCGGCCACAGGTCATATTAGGCCTGTGAAATCATTTGGTCTGGCCCTGCCTACATAACAGCAGGCAGGACTCAAAATTCAATAAATCTACAGCAGACTAATTTTTAAGTGGATAATTCTGTATGGCCCAGATGATGTTACAAACATCCAAATGGTCCTTGACAGAACATAGGTTCCCTGTACCCCTGCTCCACAAATAGGCTTTTCTAGTCATTTCATCTCAGTATTTCACCTGGGTCAATCACAGCTTAACTACATATAAAAAAACTAATTATCTTTTAAAATTCGTTGTAATTGTCATCTTTAAGAAATTCAGGATTGAGAGTTATAGTTCACTATTTGAAAAGCTTTTAAATAAAATTTAATGTTAATTTATTTTACACATACTTGACATTATAATTTGAAATTATCATCTTACACCTTGGAAAACATTCTGGCTTTCCTAATACCCTTTTTCCTTATTTCACAGTGAAATCTAATGCCTAAATACTCGTATTTCCTAATGTCAATATTTTTTTTTATTGCTCCTTACTGGAAGTACCAACTTGATTATCTCAAGAATACAAAAAGCATTTTCTTCAAATTCTTTAATGTTTCATAATCCAGTATTACCTATTTTATCAAGATACACTGACATCTTTCTAGAAAACTATGCCCGCTTCTTAGGACAAAAGAAGTTTTCTACTTGGTTCCCTTCCTTCCAAGAAATGTAGGGATTTTTAACACAATTTAAAATTCTGCACATACCAGATAGGAACACTTTCAGGATACTTAGCCAACTTTCAATAAAGGGAAGAATAAGGATTTTAGTTTAGTTGTACAGTTAGTCTTCGGGATATTTCATATAAGAATACATTTTACAATATTCAAATCTGTGACTACAAAAGTCTAATGACTAGCACCACTGTACTGAGAGGGAAGTCTCCGGAGAAGACTTAAATACATGCATTTGGTACCCATAAACTATTGTCCTATTTTCAATGCTCAATTTTTAAGACAGGCTAAAATATAAATTCTCCTGACATATCTCCTCTGTTTGTTGCTACCTTCCTTGTAAGTTTAAAATCGTTTTTGCTTCAGAATTCAGTAAAGATATTAATTTCTTAGTCCATCTAAGACCCTGCATTTGGGCCTCACATTGTGGCACAGACAATTAAGCTGTCACCTGTGATTCCAGTCAGGCTGGAGTTCTGGCTGCTCTGTTTCCAACCTAGCTCCCTGCTAATCCGCCGGAGAAAGCAACAGATATGGCCCAAGTACTTGGGTCCCTATATGGATCCCAAACACCCATGTAGGATACCCGAACAGAGTTGCTGAATTTGACCTGGCCCAGCTGTAGCCTCTGTGGCCATTTGGGGAATGAACCAGAGGGTGGAAGAGCGCTCACTCGCTCTCAATCTGTCACTTTGCCTTTCAAATAAATAAGTTAATTTTTTATTTTTAAAAAACTTATATCTGGCAAAGACTGAAGCATAGTTAAAACTTTCAAAAGACTAATGTTTTAAAAACAGCATCATGGTTCTAAGCATAATTATTCAAGTGAAATGACAATGTGAAAGTTTGGTCAATTTCAACAATTAATCTTTCCTAAGGTGAGCAAAGTATTTTCAAGACTCTTCATTCTACCCACCACTAACTCTTACCTACAAGGAAGTGGTTAAGCAGTCTGGGTGATTCTCAGGAACTGAGACGCTGACATTTTTCTGCAAGACTTTACTCTCCCCTTACATGTAACATACTCTTTTCTACTGAATCAATGTACACCTATAAGTTTAAATGTTCAAAAATACTTCCTCTCATTGGTTAAAATGAAAACCAAAGAAAAATTATCTCTCAAATGGAAAGCACAATTTATGGAAAAAAATGGAGCAAGTGAATTCAATATTACACTACTTAAACTGACAGCATGGTATTCCCAGAATACAACACTTAACAGCTAGTTCCACTACTGTTTTTTCATGCAATACAGAAACAAAACACAGAGACATCATGAAGGTCATCATTCTTATTTTTAATTGGGGAAATAGTATAAAGCAATCTTGCTTAGATTATTACAAAACACAATCCAGCACAAGATCAAATGGTCAGAAAAAATTTTTTTCATGCTTGAAAATTAAGAAGGACTCTGGCAAATTTTCAGCCCAGGGCAAATAAAAGTGCAAGTCCACAGTTTTGTTTTTGTTTTAGTCTCTCAGTAAGATTTATGGTAATGTCCAGTTTTCATAAAAAACGAACACAATTGAGGCTTTTAATCTGTACTTTGGTATTAAGCCATTATATTAAAACCATCAGTAAAAATGTTATATCATACCCACTTCAATCCTAACAAAACTATCTGTAGAAATAGTTGATGGGGCTTTGTTAACAGTGAGGCAAAATGGCAGGCCAATAAGGTGTTAACTACTGAACAGCTAACTGGCTATATATGGACATTTTAGCAGCTTTGTCTATATTGTAAAGAATCTTAATCATAAGCAAGTTTTCAGAACTAGATGAAAATATTTAGTTTAACAAAGAATACTAACTACAGATTTTAACAGTTGACCCATCTGCCAAGGTATTCGTATTTCCTATTTTGGTTATGACTGACAGATGCCTACAGAACTAGAGTTAGACCGGGAACCCATCTAAGCACTATACATTACCTTCACAAGGAAAAGAGGAGGAGCTTCCTATGAACTGTCCTTTGCGTCAGGAAGGAAAACTGTATAGAAATCTCACACTGCTACTGTCTACAAGATGACACATATGCTACCATTCAACATCACTTAAGAGAGCAACATGTCCAACATGCCTTGAAATACATACTTGTACTTTTGAAAGAAGTTTGGAGCTTCAAAAAGTTTGGACCACTCTGCCTTACTCAGCAAAATTTCATCTGTGATAGCAAGACCTAAATTAAAAACACATTAAATAGTTTGCATTCTTCAGTCTAACCAACTACATTTTAAATAACCTTACACATACCACATGCATTCACTATATAATCCTAAAACCATGATTTTAACAAACACACATTTTAGCTTATGGCTTTAGAGCACATTCTTCACACATACACACTTTTCAAAAACACTGGTGGATTCGGAGCCCCATCCTGGTAAAGCAGCATTACTCCAACATCCACGCTCACAGAATGAATTTCTTACAACTGATGCATTGGAGTTACCTTACTAAGGAAAAAATTCCCATGTGCTTTATTTCTTGCCTTGCTAAAAAAACAAGATAGCTGTTGTCTTTAAAGGAATAATCTTCCCATGAAGAATCTCTTCAGACAAAAGGAAAAAAATTTTAAACTTCTAAGTTTCAAGCTGGTAGTGATACAGCTGATTCTATTTCCTTGACTGTCTTCAGTCCAAACTAATCAATCCTATTCCACTCACTCCCCTCAAAATAACAGCTATACTTTCAAACTAACAAGAAACTGGCATGCAACAACAATTAGTTCTTCCAAAATAATGGGAAGTTTGGCCCCAGTTCTGCTCACAGCCCTTTCCCAGGAGGATACAGCCTGTTTAGTTTTCTTCATGTCGCTGAATGCAGACACGTGCTATCACTTAAAATTTTACAAAGCAATAATATAAATAATATAGCACTAATCCAGCCCACAATGGCCCAGCTAAGAAATTATTTTAAGTGTTGGTTAACCTACCAACATATAATCAAAAATAAATTTTCTTAAAAGGAATTAATTTCAAGTCAATTCTCATAATACATACTGTACTCAATAAACGATCACCAAAATCCACTTCAGTGAATGCTTCCTTCAGTTTAAATTGCACAGCTGACTACTGGGCCTACAATGGTATGTAAACCCTTTGCGTATAAAGGAGAGTGCAAGGATAGACACTTACCTTGTTTAAACTCCTCAACCATGACCATCCGTGTTGAAACGGACACATTGTACGTGGAGTTCTGTTGTGGGTATGCTGGTGTAATTATAGGCATAAGATGGTACCTATCACTGGGGTTTACCTACATACAACAACAGCCAATCAGTTTCTTCAAGTACATATTCAACAGATACTTGGACTTTTTACCCCTTGTTAAATTGAACCAATGATTAAATATTTTTATTTCATTCATAGCTGGAGTTGAGAAAGAAAAACCACGTAAGGAGACATTGTTTCTATAGGAATTCAGAGAATCAGAGATTTGATCTAAACTAGTGGTCTGTTTCAGTCATTTGGGCATGACTATTGGACAACCTCACTAGAAACAGTGTGCCTGCTGAGCAAAAAACGTTCTGCTTGGGAATCAATTGACAGTTTTTCTTTATTCAACAACAGAAATAGGGATGCACACACAATTACACTGTAGAGAAATGTCATGCTACAATATGTTCCATGTAAAACTAGCTTCAAACAAGATGGAAACTAAGTTTTCAACACACCCTTAAGTTATAAGAGTTTAAGCCTATTAATAAATGGTGAAACTACATTACCATGTTGATATTTTTAAGAGATAATAGAATTAACTTTAACCTTAATCTGTCTACTAATGCTAAGTGGCCTATTTCCACAAAGGAAACTGTAAACTCATATCCTCCAAAATTAAATGCCTTGGAAAACTTGAAAATACACAGCTTAATGTACTGCAACAGGATTTAAAACAAAGTTTTTGATGTTATAATACTATAGAAATTTAAAATCTTATTCTAATCTAGAATTCTTTTATCAGTTAACAAAATGCACATTACTAACATTTAAAATGAGTAAGCAATAAATGCTGTAACTTTCCAATAGACAGATGGAAGCTCTTCTTTAGTTCAACCATGTTTTCATAATCTCTGAAATACTGAAACCAATTTTTACAATTACATCATGGTAATTAAAGTGATATTGCTTAGAAGTCACCTGCCACATGTAAACATTAAGCAATAGCTTTCCTACAACAACCCAATTTCAACAAAAATTTAGATCAAATAAAAAAATACAGGGATTTTTAGTATCCTTTTATTTTTTTTGTTTTGTTTTTAAAGAACAAACGCCCAAACAACTTTGACTTACAAGGTAGTTCTATATAAACTGCTAGTGAAATCTGAATTAAAAAACTTTGTACAAACAAATGGTTTTACAGGGTACATATTTATGCTTCTCACATCAGAAGACAACTATAGATGAAGTTACTAAAAGAGCGTGTAATATGGACATGTCCAATGATAGGTAAAAGGCTGGGAAGTCACCCTGGAGTTTACGCAGATTTTTACTTGTTATTGCACAGTGTGAATTTGTAGGGGAAAAAATAATACACTAACCCTTGGGTCCCATACAGGCAAATTAAGATTGCATTCTTCAGGCTGTTTCAATAGCACTGGATTTGGCCATTCCCTGTTTAAAAAGATTGTAGCACTTGATAAGACTACTGGACATTATCATCTAAACGTATTTTGTTAAACATACAGCATTTGTGAATGTGATCCTTCTTCATTCATTTTGCCCTGCTGGTATATATAAACTTTTATTCCTTTCTGTTGAGGTTAGAATACTCGAAATATTTTTCCTCTATGAAATTAACCTAAACCATTTGGCAGTTTTCTCAGATTGAAGTCAAACATCTTTACTGTCTCTTAAAGAAATGATAAAGCACTATTTAAACAAAGCACCACCCCAAGACATATGATGTGTTCAACTCAATCTGAATAAGATAAAACCCCTTGAAAGACAAAAATCCTGCCTTTATACTAGTTCCATCCAAAGACAATTGAGAAAAAAGTTACTTCTGATTACAAGGGTATATGAATAATTACAAAAATCAGGAAATTTTTTTCTCTATTTCATGACTTAAAAAGGTTGTAAGGTGAAAAAGTGTAGCAAACCTATGTGGCATGAACACACTGTTTTTAAGACGCATTTTATAAATTAGCTACTTCAGTCCTTTATAGAAGAGAGAAAAAATGGAAAACATTTGCTACCCTGAGCTTTAAAGTTAGCTCTTTAAAATTATTTGCTTATGTGGTATGTGTACGTGTATCTTAGAGGGAATTCTTACCATATCTGATTATTTCTGATTAAAATGTGCTATCATTTTAAATCCCAAAACAGCAGAATGTGTACTGAAAAGTGTGACATGGTTCTTAGTCATCTTTAATAACTAATTTTATAAAACTACTAAAATTCTGTTTGCAGAGGGAAGAGGAGTAGGAGCAGAAACAGGCAGGGAAGACTTAAATCATTAAGCTAAATTCTAGTAAGAACCAAGAACCCTCATCTTTTTGGGCCAAAGAAACTATAACAGAAAACTACAAGAATCGTTTCTTAAAAGAAATCACAGTTGACAATTGTGGTCTTCCTGAAATGAGGGTGCTTTTTTGGGAGGAGAGCGCACCTCTCCTGGGTTAATGATAACCATCTCAATGGCTTTTGTTTTCCCCACTTAGTGTTTGTTTATTCTTTAATATTTTTATAAAATGTACATCTTTAATATTTACCAAAGATAGACAAATGGCAAAAAGCAATTGAAAAGCAAGCATGAAAAACCACTGGAAGAATTCAATGAGTTAAAGTGGGATGTGTACAAGTTCTATACAAAAGTAACTAATAACCCAACATATCAGTAAGTTGGATTTTAGCAGACATTACAGCTACAATGCAGGTTTTATCTGGAGGGTAGACTTATATGAGGAAGTAAAAATAGACCCTGCCTTACTACCCTGGAAAAACTAATGAAAGGGAATGAAGTTTAGATCTGCCTTTTTATATACAATGTGATCTTCCCAAGGCTACCTAAATGGCTACATCAGGAACTAAAATTTGAATCTGAAAGCAGCTGCAGAAATGCCATAGAAATAAGACTAAACTTCAGTGTCTACAATCAATTTTATTTTAATATAATCTAAACACATACCATTTAGAAAATACCAAGAAAAATTTATGTACAAGAGTTGATGCTATTGCATTTGGGTAAAGCTGGCAAGTTCTTGCTACTAGCATAGCCCAGGAAACACCACCGAGGAAACCTAATATATTGGAATAGATGTTGTGGCCTGTTGATAAGGAAAAGCAAAAAGATAAGTCAGTGTGGAACAAAAGTTTGAACTTTGTAAATAAGCTAGCCAACAAATTCTGAACTCACGTTTGGCCCACAGTTTGATAGCTCTCAGAGTTAACCTGAAGTTGTCAATGTTTGGTACTAGATGTAAAATTTCATCGGTTACCCTGCAACCTGATCAATAGGAATGAAAAAATAAAACATTAAATCATCAAAAGTTTAACGACAGTAATTATAAATTTTGTGATTGACATCAAATTGAACAAAAATTTTTTTAGTAGAATCAATACTGGTAACTCACTGACAAGGGAAAAAAACATCTAATGCATTTACCTCCTTTTACAAGCACCACCCTAAATCAAAAATACCCAACAGGAACCTTCCTAGTTTCAAACTTTCAACTCATAAACAAAATGTTTCTCCCTCCAAATACGCTAAGGAGGGTTCAATTCACTTAAAATTTTTAAGAATTGTTCAAAATCACAGTAACAAGTAATGCTAATACAAATTTATTCAAACCTAACCCTTTTAACTTAACTGATTGCATTACAAAAGAATGAAGATCAAATTTAGAACTCTACAACCTAAATCACTAGCAACAGAATAGTATAACAGAGTCCCAAGTACCATTAATGACAGGAAAGAAATAATGGTGTAACACACTAAGGAGCAAAATAAGCCCGTGGATATTCTTCTGTAGTCTACTGGGTTTTGACTCACTATAGATTAACATGGCTATAAAAAGCTTCATCGTAAAACATTAAAAACAAAGATTTAGTAGCTGACAAAAACTGCAACTATGCAAAAGGAAGTAGACTTCTACATACCGTTAAGACTTCTTATGCATCTTATATCTAAATTTTTAAGCAGACTATCATCTCGTAGGTCCAAATCTTCTGGAATAGTCTGCAGTGCTAATCGTGCAAACAAAATATCAATCTAAAAATAAAACATAACATTCCTTACCAAAAAAACTATTTTTAAGACATTTCTATAAAAAATAAAACATTCTTCTGAAAGCCAGGATCTTCTCATGAACTACAAACATGACAATGCCCCCATTAAAATTTCAAGCTAATTCATATGATATACTTTAATCAGAGAGCTTTAAAAGATGGCAATGTGAAACAGTTGTAAAAATAAATATCTATTTATATTTTAATCATACTTAGTAAGTTTGATTTACAAGATGTGCTAAATGAATATAACAAGTTAAAGTTTTAAGTTTAAGGTGTCCAAATACAAGGCAAGTATTCTTATTACACTTGGTGCAGAAGTACATCTCAGTAACCAGGGAGCTCTGTATATATGAGAATTTAGATAACTGTATTATACTATGCCTTTCCAATTTAGTTTTGAGTAAAAAGAAACAAATACTGGGGGGGGGGGGGGGCGCAAGTCGAGAACATCATGGTACAGTGGAGTCCAGCTGCTCTGCAGTGCTGACTTGAGTCCTGGCTAAGCTGCTCCTGGTTCAGCTTCCTACTAATATGCTTGGTAGGCTGCAGATGGCCCAAGCGTTGGGCTCCCTGCCACCCACATGGAAGACCCAGATAGAGTTCCTGGCCCCTGGCTTGGGCCTGGCCCAGACATGGCTATTGCAGACATTTGGGGAGTCAACCAGTGGATAGAAAATCTCTGTGTGTCACTTTGCCTTTCAAATAAAGAAAGAAATTTTAAAATACACTGTGGGGAAAACACAGCCCTAAACCACTACAGTTCAGTCAATTTTGAAGGTCTGTGGAATTCAACTGACAATTTTTTTTTTTTTTAAAGAAAGATGAGAGTGCAAAGAAACTTAGAACAAATTTCCTAATTATACCTGAAGGTATGATTTCAAAAACCTGATTGTGGTCACAAACAAGCCTTTTTAAGATCACTTTAAAAGGCAGTATTTTAAGGGGCTGGCACTGTGGCGTAGCAGGTAAAGCCTCCACCAGCAACATCAGCATCCCATAAGGATGCTGGTTCATGTACCAGCTGCTCCACTTCTGACCCAGCTCCCTGTTAATGGCCTGGGAAAAGCAGCAAATGATGGCTCAAGTGCTTGGGCCCCTGTACCAATATCAGAGACCCTAAGGATACTCCTGGCTCCTGGCTTTGGTCTGGCCCAGCCCTGGCCGTTGTGGCCATTTGGGGAGTGAGCCAGCAGAGGGAAGACCTCTCTCTCTCTCTCTGTAACTCTGCCTTTCAAATGAAAACAAACAAAAAAGAATCATCCATTGAACTCACCTCTATCCCATCAAAACAGAGTTTGATAACTGGTACAAATGCCTCTTCAACAGCCTGTAAGAAAGGTAAACATGTTTAGTGTCCTTGAAACTATGTATTAGGCCTCTACTAGCTTTAGTCTTTTTAAAATGGAAGTGAAACCTGAAATTGGTTAAATATAATTTAGCATCACGCCTGACACAAAAAGGCTCTCAGCAACAAGCTTTAAGACGTGGGCTCTCACATGATTGCAGCCAGATACTTGATACTTCTTTTGTTTGCCTCCATTTCCTAATCTGTGAGTGAGTTTACAGATTTATGATTTCAAGCTTGCTGGACAGAGTAAAATGCAAGCCCATGTTAATTAAGTGTTCAGAGGATCTGGCAAGCTACAAGAGTTTAATAAATGACAGCTACACTGTAAAATTAACTCAACTGACTATACGATTTATTTGTTAAGTTCTCCCCTTTCACTCCAAACATTTACGTACTCTTAAATCTTTTACTTCTTCTTGTAATTTCAACTTATCATAGAATGAGGTGAAAAAGTCACTTCGATCAACATGTCTTGGTGCAACACACAACGCATCAATATCGGCACCTAAAGATAAAAATCCCATCAACCACTAATTAATATTACAACAGAATTATTGTTCATCTTATGACAGCAGTATTTGATGGTGAGAATCTGTTTAACATTATACTGGTGAGCCTCTTAAAAGTGTTCCATTCCTTAATAAAAATTATCAGTCAATAGATGGAAAACACCAGTTGAAATGGATAGGGTATGTTTCTTTCTACAGAATCCTCTACTTATAATGGCCATTAAACCTGAGTCCAAATAAAGGACTTCTTTGGAAGAGAGGGATTATTTCTACTTAATGTCTTGATGTCAGTAGTCACAGCCATGCTCATTAGTCAAACAAAATTTTGTTTTCCTCTATGTATGCAAACCCATATGTGAGATGCAGAAAATAAACTTCAAGTAGTAACAAGAATCTAAAGAGACAGACCATGCTAAGACAGGTCATTAATGTAGCACTTGATAGGAGGCCAGTATGGAGTATATGAAAGAACACAAAAAGGATTAAAATCATTAACTAGGATCATAAAAGGGAGAGATAAGTATGGAATCAGGTTCACATAGTTATTTTCCTGAAAGATGAGATGCTAAGGCATTACCCTAAAGGCTGTTTATTTAGTATTATTTATGAAGAGGAGAAGAGTATATCAAAAGCAATTACACTACTACTACCGAGGATAGAGTAATGGGAAACGGGGAGGTATGGGTATCAAAACAGAGAACAGTTTTCTGGTAAATACTCTAGAGATTTATCTATCCATCAATTTATTTGAAAGGCACAGTGACAGAAAGGAAGAGGCAGAGAGAGTGATCTTCCACCTGCGGGTTCATTCCCTAAAGAACCCCAACAGCTGGGGCTGGGCTGGGCGGAAGTCAGTAGCCCAGAACTCTATCCGGGTCTTGCATGTAAGTGGCAAGAACTCGAGCAGTCATCTGCTGCTTCCCAGGCACATCAGCAGGGAGCCAGATCAGAAGTGGAACAGCCAGGACTTGACTGAGCACACCAAGTGGGATGAGGGTGCCCCAAGCAGAGGCTTAGCCAGCTGTGCCACAACACCTGGCCCGTGGCGAACATGTTCCATCCCTAAGAGGTCAGTGCCTAATGGTTAGGGAACAGCCTCAGACTGCCTGAGCACTGCAGCTTCTACCAGCGGATGGTGAGGAGAAACTGCTTATGCTTAACTGTCCCTTACAAATTCCTCACTATTGGTTACTGTGAGGAATAAATAAGATAATGAAAAATAAGAGCTTATCTCAGAGCCCAGTAAAAGAATACTTTGGTATAACATTTTGATTGTGTTTCCATTTGCATAAAGGAAATAACTACACTCAAAAATAAGAGAAAATTCATAGTGATTATCAATGTTCATGGACATACATTTTTGTTGCTTGTTTTCTTCTTGGCTGTATTTTACAATTTGCCTATAACAAACGTGTGAGGAAAAGAAAATCCACAAAGTTTTCTTATGAGCTTTAATTCACCTTTGTTCTATTTCCAAATAATCTTTTTTAGGAAAGATTTAAAAAGTGATATAAAGAAAGCAACACTGTCTAAAAGAAACCTTCAATGGGAAAAATGTTCTATATCTGCACTTCCCAAAGCAGTGGCCAGTAGCTGTAGGTAGCTATTCAGCAGTCAAAACGCAGCTACTTCTAAGAAACTCATTTTAAATTTTACTTAACTTTTAATTCTTCACTGGACAATAAAGGTATAGAAGGCATCGTATTTTGTATCTTTTTCTTAACAAATTTACACTCTTTGAAGTACTATCTCTTTCATGCAAATCTAAGACATATGATACACAAGTAACTAAGATGGATCTAATACTATAACTTCAGGAAATAAAAAAAGATTCCCTTCAACATTAAATTTTACAAATTTACCTTTTGTATGTACTCCTAATCTGTAAGATCCGAATGTAAAAATTTTTCCTCCAACGTTTTCAATCACAGATTGCGGAAGATTCTATTGAAACATAAAATGGTTATTTTGCCAGCGGAGCACAAGGGATAACTTCAAATGATACTGTCCTTTAAAAACAACAACAAGGCAACACAAAAAGCCCAACTAAGATTATAGTGCAAATTTATATACAGTATTCAAGCTCAATAAGCTCTAAGGAAACAGTACAATTTAATTTGAAATTAAAGCAATTTTCAACTTTTAGTGTTCTTTGTTGAAGGCTCATACTATTTTAGAATTTTCTCACATTTCTGGAAACTGCTATCAGGACGACTGTGGTAACTCCTTCTCTTCCCCCCGACAGCCCCTAAAATATTACACATTCTTCTTAGATCTGTAGTTCTAAACTAGAGATTGATTTGGCATCGTCAAGTGATATCTGTCACACTGGGAGGAGAGGCAGTGAACCGAGTGGGTAAAGGATGCTGGTTAACAACCTACAAGGCACAGGATAAGCCCTAACAAGTAAGAATTACCAGATCCAAAAATACCAACTGTGCCAATGTCAAGAAATCCTATATTAGACTTTAAAACTAAACAATTTAGTAAGAAATTCTCTCCATAGAAGATCAAAATTTGTGAAGCACAATCTCTTTATCCCCATTTTCCAATCACCTTGCAGCCAATAGCGCAGTGCAAACTTTAACAGGAATGAGCATAATCCGTCAATCCCAACAATTTTTCTTACTCTCAGGGGGGAAAAAAAAGGAAAAACTGTCAAGAATTACAAGTGCAAGTACCTGAAACGGAACTGTCAACGGGGCAGCACTCTCGTCTCACAACAACGAAATGAAAAATCAAGCTTTGTCTACTTGACATCCACTAACAAAACTCGGTTTTCTATACAGAGCGAACACCAAGTTCAAACAATGATTTAAATAGTTAGGCTTACACATCCTCTGCTCAGCTAAAATCATTTCCTTTCCAAAAAATTCCTTTCCATCAAAAATTCTAATAAAAAACATGTGGTTCATAAAGTCAATTACAGAATATCCTAGTTGCTCAGGTTTCAGTCAGTTGTTTGAACAATATACACGTTGTTTTAAGCAAGCGATTTTTATAAATTTGGCTAAAACCAAAAGGTTTTTAACTTTCCTGTTATGCGGATACCCTCTCTTGGCACCCCATGAGGTTTTCTTCTACCCTTGGTTCTCTTTGTCTCAGTTGTTCAGTTGTGTTAGAGAGTAAATACACATTCTGTACCACTCTGGAAAAATTGTCACTATTTATGGTGTTTGCAAAAGTAGGTCAAATAAACTCCACATACAGAAAACATTTCCTTCACCAGAAGCCCAGCCAAGGATGCAGGAGTTGTTTCTGTAAGTATTCAGAATGAAGTACTAGGAACTCAGAGAATGTTCTTATGAAAAACTAAACAAAGATATTCAATGTGAGCGTCTAATACTTAAAAACCTAAATGGGGTTCACTGCAGGATTCCTTAAAGAGCAGCAGGATTCTCAGGCAAGTATACATTTTTAGGGGACCTTTTCAGGGTAATATCTGCTATTTCTGTGAAGAGTATACAGGCAGTTTATTACTAGTGAGTTTCAGTTCTGAAATACTACAACAAAAAGTTCTTACGATGAGTACTAAACTCAGTTCAGTTTTTCTTGCTGTCAAAATAAGTAAAATATAGTATCTGTTATCAACAGTCTAAAATGATTACATGTTAAAGACTCCAAATCCAGTCAAATCAGAGCTGATGCCACGTAAGATAACTGCCATATATATCTTATCAGCTGGCTATAGATGGCAAATTATTTCATATACAAAAAAGTTACCTTACCTTACTTTCACTGATTTCTCGTATCCACTCTTTAACCAGGTTATTTAATTTTCCCAAAATTAAAATCCTGTTGATAAAGCAATTACCAATCAAGTATCAAGTTGATTATTACTCCACATTGTTAAACTGATTAAATGAAAAATGTGTTTAACAGGTGGTTCATAAAATCTAAGTTTTTAAGTGATCAGAAGCACAGTATTTAATTAGTCAGCTTGTAAGGCCTGTTACTCTGGGTACAGCATTCACCGTTCCCCTGACAATTCTGTACGGTAATAATCAAAAGCATCAAAAATCAAACTTAAGAGGCTTTAGAACTCTATGTAGAAAAAAGTAAAGGTTTATCCCCCGGCTGGAACATACATACAAATCTGGGAGAATAACGCAGAACTTTTATTTGAGTAGAAAAGGCCTCAAAATAAGTTAATTTCCACATTATTAAAATCATAAATTAAAAAGTATATACACAAACATACATCTATCTATTTACCTGCGCTGCAGCTCCTCCTCCTCTTCAAAAACCCCAAAGGGCTTCAGGGTCTCAACCAGTTTCTGTGTGAGTATGCAGTCGGTCTCCTTGGGGGCTGCTAAGCTGATGGGAGAAGTAATGCCATAGTGCTTCTGCGGCGGCTGTGTTTGTTGTGATCCCTGCGTTGTAACTGGACTAAAAATGGAATTGGATATAATTACTGCCCCCCAATCTAATTTCAAACAACCAGCATGGCCAGAAAACTACTTTAGTAAAATGCAATTCTAAGCAGTTGGTTCCCTGCCATACACCCCAAATTTTTATTTTCAAAAAACATTTTCTTAAAAGTAACAAAAAGCAGGACACAGCACTGCAGTACAACCAGTCAAGCCACTGTTTCCAACACCAGCGACCCATGTTGGAGTGATGACTTGAGTCCCAGCAATTCCACTTTATTTTTTTTTAAAGATTTATTTTATTTATTTGAAAGAATTACAGAGAGAGGCAGCAACTCAGAGAGAGAGGTCTTCCATCTGCTGGTTCACTCTCCAAATGGCTGCAACAGCCAGAGCTGAACTGATCCAAAGCCAGGAGCCAGCAGCTTCCTCTGGGTCTCCCACGTGGGTGCAAGGACCTAAGCACCTGGGCCATCCTCCGCTGCTTTCCAGGCGCATTAGCAGGGAGCTGGATCAGCAACGGAACAGTCGGGACTTGAACTGGCACCCATATGGGATGCCAGCACTGCAGGCCACGAGCTTTAACCAGCTGCGCCACAGCACCAGTCCCAGCAACTCCTCTTTAAACCAACCTTCCTACCAATGCATTCTGGAAGGCAGAAATGATGGCCCAAGTGTTTGGGCCCCTATCAGCATGGAGTTCAGAGCTTTGACCTGGCCCAGCCCTAGCTTATGGACTTGAGCATATGGTGAGTGAACCAGCAGAGAGGAGACCTGTTTATCTCTCTTTCCAATAAAATAATTTTTTTAAGGTTCTATTTATTTTATTTGAGAGAGTTACAGACAGTGAGAGGGAAAGACAGAAAGGTCTTCCTTCCGTTGGTTCTCTCCCCAAATGGCTGCAACGGCTGGAGCTGTGCCAATCGGAAGCCAGGAGCCAAGTGCTTCTTCTGGGTCTCCCACATGGGTGCAGGGGCCCAAGGACTTGGGCCATCTTCTACTGCTTTCTCAGGCCATAGCAGAGAGCTGGATTGGAAGTGGAGCAGCTGGGACTAGAACCGGCGCCCATGTGGGATGCCAGCACTGCAGGCGGAGGATTAAGCTACTGTGCCACTGGGGCGGCCCCCAAATAATTTTCTAAGAAGATATTTGTGCTTCCTATAAAAATGGTTGCCAAAAACAAGAATGGCTTTCAGGTGCCTTCAATGTCCATAATGTCCCAAGTAAACATCAATCATTATGGTATGTTAAAGAAAGTCAAGTTTTTCCTTTTTAACAGCACAAATTAAGTAAGAGTAATAAAGCAATTCAAAGATCTTTGTTGCTGGGCTCTGCACTGTGGTGCAGCAGGTTAGGCAGCAGCCTGCAACAGAGGCTTCCATGAGTCTGGGCTGCGACATTTCCAGTCCAGCACTCTGCTAAAAGCGCCTGGGAAAGCAGCAAAAGACAGCCCCATTACTTGGGCCCTTGCAACACACAAGGGAGATTTGGCTGGAGTTCCAGACTCCTCACAGCCTGGCTTTGGGGACTTAATCAGTGGATGGAAGAGCTGTCTGTTTCTTTCCGTAACTCTGCCTTTCAAATAAATTAATCTTAAAAAAAAAAAATCGGGGGCCGGAGCTGTGGTGCAGCGGGCAAAGCTGCCACCTACAGTGCTGGCGGAAGACCCCCTTCCCCGCCTCTCCTTCTCGCTCCATGTAACTCTTTCAAATAAATAAATAAATATTTTTAAAAATTAAGAGTTGAGCCTTTAAAATATTAAAAAAGAAACTTTGTTGCCATTTTAACAAAAATATATACTCCAATATTGGGCAGTATGGAACACAAACTTCAGATGAGTAAGGATTCTTTACATACACAATCTATTGGAACACCATACACGAGATCTCGAATGCAAAGCTCTGCCTCCCATTCTTGAAAACTAATATTAGATATCTGCCCACTTTCTAGAAATATTTTTGTTATATTTAATTTTCTTCAGACATTATTCTCCTTGAGGAAACTTTTTTTTTTTTTTTTGACAGGCAGAGTGGACAGTGAGAGAGAAACAGAGAGAAAGGTTTCCTTTGCCGTGGGTTTACCCCCCAATGGCAGCTGTGGCCGGTGCACCACGCTGATCCGAAGCCAGGAGCTTCTCCTGGTCTCCCATGCGGGTGCAGGGTCCAAGCACTTGGGCCATCCTCCACTGCACTCCTGAGCCACAGCAGAGAGCTGCACTGCAAGAGGAGCAACCGGGACAGAATCCGGTGCCCCGATCAGGACTAGAACCCAGTGTGCCGGCACCACAGGCGGAAGATTAGCCTATTGAGCCGCGGCACCGACCTCCTTTAGGAAACTTCTACAACTCATACAAGACAGTAAGAAAAGAATAGTAGCATTACAGTATTTTTGATTCAAAAACATTTTTTTCTGGCTTTTTTTTTTTTAAAGATTTATCTATTTATTTGAAAGGCAAAGTTACAGAGAGGCAGAGGCAGAGGCAGAGAGAGAGGTCATCCATCAGCTGGTTCACTCCCCAAGTGGTGCAATGGGCAGAGCTATGCCCATCCAAAGCCAGGAGTCAGGAGCCTCTTCTGGGTCTCCCATGCGGGTGCAGGGGCCCATGCTCTTGGACCATCTTCCACTGCTTTCTCAGGCCACAGCAGAGAGCAGGATCGGAAGTGGAGCAGCCAGACTCATATGGATGCTGGCACTGCGCCACAGTGCAGACCCCTTCCAATTTTCAATATACGGAACACTGTGTTGGGGCCAGCACTGTGGCATAATGAATGAAGCCATCGCATGTGATGCTGGCATTCCAAATGAGTGCCAGTTCAAGTCCCTGCTGCTCCACTTCTGATCCAGCTCCCAGTTAATGCCCATGGTAAAGCAGCAAAATATGGACCAAGTACTTCAGCTCCTCCCATGTGAGAGACCTGTACAGAGTTCCAGGCTCCTGCTTAGGCCTGGTCCACACCTGGTTTGCTGTGGTCATCTGGGGAGTGAACCATCAAATGAAGGTTTCTTTCTCTCTCTTTCAAATAAATAAATCTTAAAAAAAAAAAAAAAAAAAAACTCATGTTTTTCCTGAGCCATTAATTTTCCTTAATCTCATGAATATGATTTGTATGTACATTTAGGATATTGCCAGCATTCCCAGAGTGAAACTGGTGGCCATCTTCTTTACAAAAATAAAAAAAGGATCTCCCAAAAGTGCATAGAAAATTATGGAAAAAAATAAACATAACTATGCCACGGGTTTCAAAATGTTTGCACCAAATAGAGTTTACCTTTTAATTCTATTTTCCACAAACTTTTTAAAAGTATTCTCACATTTTCACTGAACTATTTTTAGTGTCCAAGGTTCTTGCTGATTTCTGTATTTCCCTTTCCACCTTTCTCTAATGTAAACATCTTGCTACATATACAGATTGACTGAAGCACTCTTAAAAGTCTGCATCACTTCTGGATCAGGTAATATATTTATAAACACATAGCTGCACATACAGTACATAACCCGCCATCATAAGACAGTCAAACCCTCTGTCCCCCACCCTTTTTCTTCTCATGTGTAAAGTGTATTTTCAGAACTCTTCTCTCCATAGAATATGGAGCGATTCCTTTATACTTTCATCGAGGCAACACTTGCACAAGACAACACCCACCTTTCCTTGTAATCTTTAACAACATTCTATGTAACAATTCCAATCCCACTACAAGTTCTGGCTCTTGGACATCCTGGCTCAACTCCTTCCTTCTATTCTCTTTACACAGATCCACCATGCAAACAACTAGCAAGTTATCTCCCTAAAACTCTAAATTCTGGTAATGGCCGTCAAGATTTTGTCTACAAGGTCTGGTCTCAATTCAGAAGGAATGTAATAAACAGAGGAGGAGGCCTGATTTTACTTCTGCTACTAGTCAGACAACTCTGGTTTCACTTGTCACTAGTCATGTGACTCTTGGTAAGTTGTATATCTATGGATTTACCTTAGAATTTATTGCATCTCTACTCTAGATCACAGACTAAGAATTTTAAACTATAATATAATTGTAACAATAAAGAGCAGTTTGCAAGCATGGAAAGTTTTTGGTCCAGGACTTGAATCTAACTAGGATATTTAGTTCCTGAGAAAGAATAGTGACAGGAGCCAGCAGGTTAAACCAAAATCTACAATGCCAGCATTCCATGTGGCTGCTGGTTTGAGTCTCAGCTTCTCCACTTCCAATCCAGCTCGCTGCTCATGTGCCTGGGAAAGCAGTGGAAGATGGCTGCTCCCATGTGGGAGACTGGATGGCATTTCAGGCTCCTGGCTGACGGCTGGCTCAGCCCCAGCCTTTGTGACCGTATCAGGAATGAACCAGTGGAGGGAAGATCTCTTCCTCACTCTCTGTAATTCTGCCTCTCAAATAAGTAAATCTTTAAAAAAAAAAATGTAACATTTTTGTAAAATCAGTATATGACTGCTGGCTATTTATTTTGGGTAGATAATTTGTTTGAAAGTTTAGGCATCCAAGTTTACCAACATGTACGCTCTGCACTCACAAGTTGGGGTAGGGGTGGGCATGCTGCAAAACAACTTCATTAAAAGTGTCTGATATCTTTAAAAAAATCTTGGTATAAATATGAAATTAACTGAAATAGTACAAACTCCTACGATTTGTTAGCTAGTTTAGAAGCCATATACCCAAATAATCAAATTATGAATGTTTGCAAATAACAAGTCAATGAGGAAAAGATGGAATATTCAAATAATGTCAGCTATTACAGTAAAATTTAAATCATGCCATGATTTCCAAATATTTGAGAATTACAGAGGTAGTAAAAGCAAATGAGTATGGGGGCCAGCGTGAGCCCTGGCTACTCCACTTCTGATTCAGCTCCTTACTAATGAGCCTGAGAAACCCTGCACCCACATGGGAGACTTGGATGAAGCTCCTGGCTCCTGACTACAGATCTGACCAATGGACAGAAGATCTCTGTCTCTCCCTCTCTGTAACTCTCTCATATAAATAAAATCTTTTAAAAAAATCATGTGT